TAAAAGCTAATAAAAGTTTGCATACGGATATTTACTTTCCATATTGTTGCCCGCCGTTTCTTCCAATTGAAAATTGTTAGAAACTTGAGTATTTCCTTTTCCCACTCTTAGGGCTTCAAAATTTTGGAATGTTGAGATACATCCGTAAAGAAAACAAATATTTCTTATTAACTAGAAATAAATATAGCTCCTTCTCGTGTACACTTATTTATTAGGAGTCCCATAAAAAAGGTGGCACGGTTAGTGTAGACTATATGTGCTATGGGTTGAAGATAGCGATTTATTCAATCATTGAAAAGAAAGTCTGCTTTTGAGAGTTGCAATTCTTTTTGGTAGTCGGGTTGAAACTCTGTATACAAAGTTTCCTGATCGCCATTCATATACTCCGTGTAAGCAGCTTCTTGATCTCCAATTTGAATTTTCTTGTTAGGTGAAGAATCAACTAACAACTGAACTTCGCAACTTCTTTCCATCAATGTAAATAAGTAAGCAGCCAGATCAACAGTTGTACCGACTGTAAGAAGCCCATGGTTAGTAAGAATCACCCCTTTTCCATTTCCTATAGCTCGGGATATAGCCTTACCTTCTTCTGCTTCTATTGCAACTCCCCCAAAGTCTTCATAAACACTATGACTTTTATAAAAGGTGCACACATCTTGGTTTATCATTTCCAAAGGCTTGCCAAAAGCTGAATAAGCTTTTCCAAACTTTGAATGTGTATGACATGCAGCATTCACATCCGATCTTGCCTTGTGAAGTGCTGAATGAATAGAAAATCCTGCAGCATTGATAGCTGATTGAGCCCCATCTGGAAGAATTTTTCCATCTTCATCTACATGTACGAGGTCTGAAGCTTTAATTAAACCAAAATGTATTCCTAAAGGATTAATCCAAAACGTATTTGGATCAACAGGATCCCTCACTGATATATGTCCAGAAGTGCCTTCTGTATAACCCTTTCTATCAAAAACACGAAATGCGCCTGCCATATGCTCAAGTATCCACTTTCTTTCTTCGTATTTATCTTCAAAGCTTGGAAGAGCGTAAGGATGAGCTGCCCCTAAAGCTATGTTATGCATACCCCTTTCACGCGTTTTATAATCTTCATTATTTGAGCCAATTTGAGTCAAGACTACTTTTGATGGTTCTTCAGTAATAGTTGAACTTGCCATTTCAGAAAAACTTATTCTTACTATGAAGTGAATTATAGATTTTAAATCTCAAAGTAATTACCTCTACTTAAATAATGTACGGAAAAGAGGTAAGGCGCTTATTCTCTACCTTCGACAATCTTTACAGATAAAGTTAGAATATATTTCTACTATCGCAACCCTTCCTGTTTTAGGAAGTACCCGTCCAACAATAGATCTACGCGTGAAATCTATTCCCTGCATGTTTGCAGCAATATTCAATGGTACGAAGTTTCAATGTATTTGTCGTTGATTTATTTCATAGATATAGGTTTCACCCACCTGGTCTTCTTCTAAGATTTCAACTTAAGTGGGAGTTACTTTATCTGGTGCCGGATTTAGTGGGTCATTTTTTTCTGCAGTGGTTAGTAAATTTGTATTCATAACCGGTGACCAAAGATAGGGATTAAGGACCTGTGCACTTATTACGTTTATGCTAGCCTCAATAACGTTTGTTCTTATCAATATACATGTATATAATTCAAAGCTGCTCAAACATTCCTTAAAAAAATAATATTTGTTTTCCAATCCCAAGCCCACCTTCGCTTGGTCTATCTTCAAAAATTATCAAAATTATCATAAATTGTTGGTATCTTTTGGTTTTTGATAGAAGATACAAACCTAGATATTCTTGAGATTTTTCTTATCTCTTCTGTGTTTTGTAACCTCTTTTAGCTCGCCAGCTATATTTTCTCTCTCGGATGCTAATTGCGTTCGCAATGTGTTTCGTCAACCTTTAATGAATGATGTAATCATTGATACCCTTCAAAAAATAACTTCTTCTTGGGAAGTTCCTAATATGCTCGTTTGACTTGGTGTCAAGTTGCCGAACTCATTGCTCCAGCAATGAAAAACGATACTTAAAAAGACCGTTTTTAAATAGATATACACGGGCCCGTGTTTTCTTCTAAATATTATTATTCTGTTAGTTCTAATGGAACAGTTATGACTAACAGTATAGGGCGAATATGTCTTTAGATAACAAAGAGGAAAGAGGAAATAACGATTATAACAATTAACAACGATCATCATTCAAGATAGGAAATGAACCTGGTAGATCTAGAGAGTGCACTTAAGATAGTAGAAGGTAAACTATTAGCCTATAGTACCATATTATGTAATTTTAGATATTATGTCGTAGAATGAATCTTCCTATCACTACCTAAACATATATACTATTTTAATCTAATTGTTTTGAATACTAGAACGTTATGTGCTGCCGTGAAATATCGAATTCTTGAATATTCTCCTCATTTACTATACATAAATGGATCATAACGACTGAATAATGTATTATCTAGTTGTTGAAATAATGGTTTAGATCGGTAGCTTAATTGGCAGTAAATAGGATGACAGATTCGAATTGAACAAGTGATAAAAACTTTTTTACTAATGGAAGGATAATATATCCCAACAATTTACAAGTATTTGGTTCCTATTATCTATGCATTGAAGTCCTGCTTAAACATATATATATCTTAAAATACAATTAAAAATTTGACCTGTCAATCAGTTACTTTCGGTCGCACCAGAGAAATCTAATCGTTTTGGCTTGATTTGGCTTTGACGACTCAGTAAGTTAACTACCTTTCTTTCTCCTGTTCTAGTATTGAAATATTCCACCTGAGTAGCATAATCAACGTCACCGTTCTTTGAGGCGGAACCATTTGTACTATTGAATGGGTTAGATGGTCTGTTAGGCTTTTTCGAAGGTGCCGAGGTTGATAAAAATGGATTCTCCATCTTCATGGGCTTGATTTCTTCGTAATCTTCGTCATCTGACGAGAAAATACTATTGAACGACTCACCATGCCAGCGATTCACAGTTTTATCATCTATCACTTGGCCTTTCGGGGTCTGAAGCCCCTTCCGTACACTAGGATGTCTCTTTACAGGAGACGCGTCTACTGGTAATAACTCATTTGTCGATATTTTCAAATTGGTATTTTGTATAAACCCGGATTTGAGTTGTGGCGTGGAAGCCTTAAATACATCATCTTCATCCACCTCCTCTTCAAAATTCAAGTTATCGTTTAATTTGGACAATGTTTCAAAACTCAACATCGGTGGTTTCAATGATCTCGTTTGGTTATGTGCTACTTTTCTCCCTGTTCCAACTGTAGAGGGTGTAGGCATCAATAAACCCGACAAATCTGTCGTTGGAGTCCGTGTGCCCACATTATTGTCGTCCACTGTAGCCTGCTTGAAAATGGCACCAACTATGCTTCTTTTTCTTTTATGTGATCTGTGCGGTGATCTCTGAGGAGTGAACTCGGGTGTTAATGGCACTAAATTACCCTTATTTTTGGTTTCAGTGTTTCCTTTAAGAAAGCTACGTGTATTTTTCCCCCCTGTGTATGGTGTAGCAAATGTTTCTGTAATTTTCACTGGTGTTACCGGTTGAAATGAAGATGGAGTTTTCATCACCATCGGCTTATGTGGTTTTGACACCCTCGGTGGAGTTGCAGGAGGTACAAACTGATTTGGCATTCTATTATCAGAGTAATGTATTAGCAATATTAGCAACGACTTTCAGAGCGATTTGAATGTAATATAAGATGATTTAAAACTCTATAAAGTACATATGACACGTCCTTAATTATATTATAATATATGCGTAAAAAGATGGCTGGTTATAAGATCGCACAATTTCTGATTAAGGAACGAATTTCATTTTTTTGCAATATATTGATTATTGTACAGCGTAGAAAGTGTGGATATGATAGTTAATATGATAATTAATGGGGGTTATATCAAACAAAAGTATGTACACTATTGACACGAAACTTTCTTTTGGATATTTTGACACCCAAGCCTAGTTCTAAGGTATCGTAAAACTCATTTATGGATTGTCGAATATCTGAGACATCGTAAAGAAGATAGTTATCAGTAAGGTCCAATTTCTTCAATTGGCTATTAGGTGTAGACATCGGCTTGAGTGTAAGCTTACGAAGACCGCACATGCTTAAGCCTAGTTCTTCAAGACAGTGACTATTGACAAAACTATGAGGAAATATGAATTCGTCTACCAAATGGTTTCTGTCCAAGAGGAGGACTTTAAGATTGGGAGGTATAGAGATATCGTATGCAATTGTCTTGATGTTATTGTCACTTAATTTCAACACATGCAAATTGTTTGTAGATTGGGAGTGGTGCGATGAGAAAAGCGGTGATTTTGTCGAGATATGTGAGATGAAATTGAGTCTTATGTCTAAATTTCGTAAAGCAGGAGGGACTTCCCACGCGTCCAAAGACTGTATCTTGTTGAGGTATAATTCTAGGTCAACTAGGTTTACCAATTGGTTCCAATTTACAACTTGTTTCGGACCATTTCCTTCATCAACGGTCATGTTGTACAACGTGAGGTCCTCGATCTTGTTACCAGATATGGATAGTTTTCTGATAGACTTGGGGAACTCGAATACCAGCAAATCCGTGATGTTGCAATCGTCAAGGTTTAGAGACGTCAAGTAGGAAGGAAAGGTGATTCTTTCTGTAGCCAGGTATACGGAAAAATCTAGACGATAACAATTGGAAAGATGCAAGGTATCTAGAAATTCAGGGAACTTGAAACTAGACTGGCCGTGCAACGTCGAGTCACCCGATGAAATGTCTAGTGATGCAAGTGGGGTGAATGATAAATCTAAGTACTCTAACCGGTCTGGTAAATATTTTAAATCATCTAAGCTCGTGAATCGGTTATTATCGAGCCTCAAGTTTTGTAAGTCGAACGGCCAAACCAACTCTGAAAGCATCTGTAGACCAAAATTAGTCATATCATTATGTGACAATAAGATCGATTTCAAGTTTGCGGGCCATGCATTATTGGATGAAGTGGAAATGAATCTGTTAATACTGTTGTACAGCAAATCAATCGTTTCTAACGTCGTTGGTAATTTAGATACATCAATAGATGTTAAATTATTATATGTGAGCATTAAGGTCTTTAAATGAGAAGGAAAGGTTTGCCTAGCTAGTTTCTCACTATCCAAGCCCGACCTATTCCAGAATAAGTCTGTAACAGAATTCGGTATACTAATGGTATTAATATTGAGATGCTCATACCACGATATGTCGAGATGCTTAAGGTTAGGTGGGAGTTTTATTTGAGACCAATCAATAATCTTATGCCCAAGAAAAACAAGCTCTTGAAGATTCAGGAGTTTCTGAAGATGTTTCACTAATCCCCCTAAAGCTTTTGTCATTGCAGCCCGCGAGAACTGCAATTTCCTTACATTAGGAAATGATGTGATCAACTCCAAATCCTTATCATCAAGCTCATATCGTTCAATATATAGATCAATCTCACATGATTTACCAATAAATCGTTCACGATAGGCTATTAATAATTGCTCCAAAGAGCGGAAATCTCCCCCCGTTATGAAAACCAACCGTTTGGGGTTGACGTTGGGGAACTCGCTCAAAAACTCGTCGATCTCTCCAAAACTTTCAAAATCAACTAGCCTTTTTATATGCTCTGGGTACTTACATCTATGAGGAAAATACGTGGGGGACAACATTAGGTGCATCTCCTTGGAAAAATACTCCTCTAGTATCAAGTCTGATATTTCATTATTCCATTTCATCATGAACTCGGTTATGTAGCTTGCAGGCAAATAGCTCAATACCTCCAATATTACATGGTTGGGGAGTTTGGGGAAGTAATCAGATATAAATGACGTAACTCTATCCATCATTCTTTCTTTTACGTACCTGTTCTAGTTCGATTTTGCTACTTAATACCCATTTTAAGTCTAGCTTGTCTTATGAAAATGCCATTTTTCATATTTCCTGCACATAATCAACTTTCTACATCAGGTCCACCAGCTACTACGAGAGAGGACTACGATATCCTGATGAATCTACTTACTAGATACTCGATTACACTCTGTTCCATACCATATCTGACATTAAACACTCTCCGAGCGATTTTTGCATTATATGCGGTTCTTTTTCTGAGCCATATTCTTTCCTATTACCGGTCTCAATCTAGCCGTATTATGCTCCAAACGAACGCCGCAATGTTTCGTGCAAGCACTAATGCAACCCTATGCCATCACAAGCAGTCTACACCACCCTACTAAGCCCGTATAGAAATAACATATACACTATATCCTTACTTCGTAGCGTAGCCTCATTTATGCCACCACCCCGGGAGTCAAGTGCATTTGAGTGCATTTTTCCCTCTTGCAGCATTACGACAGCACTAGAAACACTACAGTACCACTCATCACTATTACACCATCCAGTCGCCCCCCAATATGTAGGATATCAACCGCCTGCACCCTTGGTTGTGAATACACAGGTAAACCTTAACTGGCCCGGTATAACCTTCTATTGGTCCTTGTGAGTCATCTGAATCATAGGATAATAGCATAATGTCGTATGGGATGCGCTTAAACAAAGGGATAGCGCAACGGGGGGGAAATGTCGCATAAATATCGGATAATGTCGCACGGTTCTCTTCTGAATTTTCTTCCATCCACAAAACACTTCAACTTTGTTATAGTTCTTTAAGCAAAAACACATCTAGTTGGCATTATAAGATATTGGGTCAATCACTCAAGACAATTAGGTGTTTATTATTTTCAGTGGATTGCTTTATATATATAAATTGCATCTTTGCATCATTGATTTTCTACGAAACTTTTTTCACTCAAGCTTACACGTTCAGTTACGAGGAATAGATACTTATAATAATAGCAAGAGGTAAAAATAACAATGGATAAGCTAATTTCGTCTTTATTATGTTGTGCAGTCGATTCCAAGGATGATAGCGACGACAAAATAGTCAACCAGCAGAACAGTAGGAATAGAAGCGGTGGTACGGGTAAACCGAGGAATAGTAACAGCAACGGTGTGGACAAAAATAGAAGCCCAGAAGCGAGTAGCAAGAGCAAGGAGAGGGGCCAAATAAAGGGCGAGGACAAGGAAGTGAGTGGTCGAAATAGGAACAAAACAACGACCAGTCCTAAAGATAAAGTTGACCTTGTTGAAGATGATAATTCGGTGAATGAAACAGACACAATTACCAACACAAACGAGTCGAATCCAACGCCAAATAACCAGTCACAAGAACAACCTGTAATGCCCGAGGTGATAACAGACCGGGATGACCCGAACTACGACGACCCGAGACATAGGGAGACCGAAACGGGAGACATCGAAGAGGAGGAGGTTGTTTACGAAGACAACGACGAAGACTCCGAGTCGTTTATGGATTTGACCAAGCTTCAGGAGGGCCAGTCCTACAACGAAGAAACAGGATGGTTGTTGGGTGTGAAGGATGCGTCCTTTGGTAATAAGAAGTGTCTTGTGTTGGATTTGGATGAAACATTAGTTCACTCGTCGTTCAAATACTTACGGACGGCAGACTTTGTGATACCAGTTGAGATTGACAACCAGGTTCACCACGTCTACGTTATTAAAAGGCCCGGGGTGGACGAGTTTTTGGAAAAAGTGGGCAGGTGGTTTGAAGTTGTGGTGTTCACAGCTTCTGTACTGAAATACGGCGATCCATTGTTGGATAAGTTAGATATATTTCATTCTGTGCACCATAGGTTATTCAGAGATTCGTGCTATAACTACCAGGGCAACTTTATTAAAAATTTATCGCAATTGGGAAGACCTCTAACTGATTCGATTATAATCGACAATTCACCTGCCTCGTATATTTTCCATCCTCAACATTCCATTCCAATCTCAAGTTGGTTCAGTGACACGCATGATAATGAATTACTTGACTTATTACCGTTTTTGGAAGACATATCAAAATCCAATGTTGATGATGTGGGTTTGGTATTGGATATTTCTTTGTAAGAGAATATATCTGCTACCTCTACATATTTCGCAGCTTTTAACATTGCTGACTTAGGTTCTTTGTTATAAAAGTATAGAAATTCCGGGACCTATTAATAAACATAAGCAGGACTTATGATTAATCTACAAATGCTGCCCACTATGTGGAATCCACCCTTTCAACTATTTCTAAGTCAAAGTAATTTATTTATTGTCATCATTATTATTATATTACCTTCCCAATTGCAAATGTCATAGAAGGATAGAAACTAATTTGAAAGTACTTAATTCGCTGTTGTATCATTTAGAGTATTTTATTACTATTACTATTACTATTACTATTATTATTATTCTTATTATTACTAGACTACTGGAATTAATAAAAATGCCCTTATAGCTACCAGAATTATTGAATATTTAGGATTATATAAATATGCCTAGTTGTATCAATTAATAAATAATTTAATCATCTTATAATTTGCGCGATGATTATAATCTCATCTCAAAATTTTTTCTATTAGGTGAATGATTGATTCAATAATCTAGATTTATTTGCTATAGAATATACATAAATACCATGAAGCTAAAGACTATAAGTAGATCATCGGACACATATGTTCCTGTGAGAAACACCCAGGAGTCCTCACTTCCTAGAAATTTAAATCCAGCATTACATCCATTTGAAAGAGCAAGAGAATATACCAAGGCGTTAACAGCCACTAAGATGGAGAGAATGTTTGCCCAACCATTTGTAGGTCAGTTGGGAGACGGTCATAGAGATGGAATCTACTCGATAGCGAGAAATTTTTCTACTACTAATCAAATAGCGACCGGTTCTGGAGATGGGGTTATAAAGTACTGGGACATGACCCTGCGTGATGAAGTTATAAGTTTCAAAGCACATTATGGAATGGTTAGTGGATTATGTGTCACGCCGAATACTAGCCATATGTTGTCATGTGGTGACGATAAGACAGTTAAATTATGGTCTGTCAGCAAGAATGACTTTGATGCTAGTCAGACTGATACAGAGGTTTATACGAAGAAAGATAATGGATTAGTCAAGACTTTTTTGGGAGAGCACGCATTCAAAGGTATTGACCATCACAATAATGAGGACTTATTTGTTACTGGTGGTGCATCTATTCAGTTGTGGGACATGAACAGATCCAAATATATTTCTAATTTATCGTGGGGAGCCGATAACATAAACACTGTGAAGTTCAATAGAACTGAGACTAATATCATTGCATCTGCTGGTTCTGATAATTCTATTGTGTTGTATGATGTTCGTACAAATTCACCTATTCAAAAAGTTGTCACCAGTTTAAGAACCAACGCTATTTCCTGGAACCCAATGGAAGCATTTAATTTTGCAAGTGCTTGTGACGATCACAATGCCTACTTATGGGACATGAGAAAGTTGAACAGGTCATTGAATGTGTACAAAGACCATGTGGCTGCCGTCATGGATGTTGATTTTTCTCCTACTGGTGAGGAATTGGTAACCGGTTCTTACGATAAAACCTTGCGTATATTCCGTGCCAGAGAAGGTCATCTGAGAGAAGTATACCATACCAAGAGAATGCAGCGTGTGTTCAGTGTCAAATTTACTACTGACGCCCGTTACATATTGAGTGGTTCCGATGACGCAAATGTAAGATTATGGAGAGCCGTGGCTTCCGACAGATCGAATATCAAGTCAGCAAGACAAAGATCCAAACTCGAATATGATGCTGCTTTGAAAGAAAGATTTAAGCATATGCCAGAAATCAAGAGAATTGCCAGACACCGTCATGTTCCAAAGGTTGTGAAGAAGGCTGGTGAGATTAAGAGAACTGAACTTGATGCTTTGAAGAAAAGAGAAGACAACGAAAGAAGACATTCCAAACCAGGTTCTAAGCCTTTCGTCTTTGAGAGAGAAAAACATATCAGAGGTACTGCTATCAAGGATAATAAGTAGTTTATATATTCTATTCCATCTAGTATAATATATATACACGTGATGTTAATATGGTCAAATTAAATTGCGGGAAATTCGTGTATCGGAGTTCCCAGAGATACAGTATAGAGAGTAAACCGACGTGAATCATTATTAGTTAGAGGATTGTATATATATGAAGCTGATTGAAATAGGATTGAGATATTGAAAATAAGGAAAGTAGCTGAAGAAGTAGACAATTCAAGGTACTTGATTATTTAATGAACAGCGTGCAAAAGTGCATAGAAAAATACAATAAACGATATCAAATAGTATTCTAGTGATAGCAAAATCAGTTATTGTCAATCAAAACTGAGTTGGATTCAAGATCGTAACATAAGCGTTCGGAGAGAGGATATAAATTAATATTTTAAGAGAGAGAGGAATTATTAGGATATAAATATGCCGGATAGACATAAGCTTAAGTTATTTTCACATTTTAAGCACCCATCTCAAGACGATTTGTCACCGTCAACGTCGAATCAGTCACATTCGGGAGGACGCAAGATATTGGGGATACACTTGGGAAAACACGATTCTGTAGAATCTTTGAGTTCACCAACATTAACTAATTCATCGGAACATCATGGTGGTAATGCAGCCCCTTCATCTCAGCCCCCAATGCATACAAATGCATCAAGAGATGATCCAAATCATAGTTTCACGAAAGCGAACTCAATGGTGGAATTGAAGCGTTTCTTTAAGCCAGGGAGAAAGAATTCATTATCCAAGAAAAACGAGCAAAATACCTACAATAACCAATTGCATTCTCCACCAGCAATCGCTGGAGCAAATAATAGCACTACGAAGGACTTGTCATCAACATCTCTTGCGAACTTAATCAACCAAACGTCGACACATTTGCTTAACAATGCATCACACGTCAGCACTCTGAATAAAGATCCGTTTACTGACGATGAATCTACCTTGGTTAGAAAATATGGTAAGCTAGGAAAGGAACTAGGAAGTGGAGCAGGTGGATCAGTTCGGCTTATTATCCGTCCTTCTGATTCCAAGACATTTGCAGTGAAGGAGTTTAGACCTCGTAGGAACACGGAATCTTTGAAAGATTATACAAGAAAATGTACGGCAGAATATTGTATCGGGTCTACGTTGAAAAATCCTAATATAATTAAAACCATTGATATACTACACGAAAATAATAGATACTTTGAAATTATGGAATATGCACCCATCGACTTTTTTGCTGTTGTTATGAGTGGAAAGATGTCTAGAAATGAAATAAATTGTTGTTTAAAACAAATTTTGACTGGTGTTAGCTATATACACTCATTGGGATTGGCTCACAGAGATTTGAAATTGGATAATTGTGTTTTAACTAAGGATGGGATTTTGAAAATCATTGATTTTGGTAGTGCAGTAATATTTAGATATCCTTACGATCAGCATGGGAACCACAAGGATAGTGTTCACCCATGTCATGGAATTGTTGGTTCTGACCCTTATTTGGCACCAGAAGTTTTGAAGAATCCTAACTCTTATAATCCTCAACCAGTTGATTTGTGGTCCATTGCCATTATATATTGCTGTATGACATTGAAGAGATTCCCATGGAAGATACCTAATGCAGACAAAGATAACAGCTTCAAATTGTACTCTATGCAAGACGATAATTGGCATGACTACGAGTTGAGTAACGAGTGCCATAAGCTTTTATTACAACAACGTAAATTGAAGAATATGATTGCAAGGCTGAACAGAAAAAGGAAAATGCTAGAGGAAAACTCAGAAGGAGACTTCAATGAGATAAGTCCACAGGAAAATGAAGAAAAGCCAGGCGAATATGACATGAGAGACGATCCTAAAGAAACATCGAAAGATGCACCAGAGGATAAAAATTTAGATGACGTAGAGGTATTAACAGAAGAACAAACTCAGGATATAGTTGCCCAATTACGCATAATTGATGACAGGTTAGAGCAATATGAAGCTAAAAAGAATGAAATGAAATCAAAATTCAATGAAATGAAGCAAGAAAAACACGAATCTTACCAAGATCATGAAAATGAAGAGACCACACAAAATGCAAGTAATTCAGAGAAAGACAGAGATTCGTCATCCCATCATGGCAAGAAGAAACAATCTCATAAACAAATTCATGGCCCTTATAGATTAATGAGATTATTGCCTCACGCATCGAGACCTATAATACGTAAGATGCTTCAAATTGACCCGCATAAGAGAGCTTCCTTAGAAGAAATTATGGCAGACGAATTTGTTCGAGAGATTAAGTCTTGTACCTTGAAAAAGTTTATCCATGCTAACAATGATAGAGTTCCTTGTAACGAGGAAGAGGAAGAAATCGTGGTTAAAGGTACTCCTGCTCATGAACATACTCTTGTATCTGATAATGGTGAAGTAATTAATGCATAGTATTAAATAGTTTTAATGAATAATGTTAAGTTGCATCGTAAACCAAACACGTGATTTATTCACTATCGATATGAAAAGGAGGTTTTTTAGTTGAATCGTAATATAATACAGTTTTAATGCAGCAACAACAATTATATAGACCATGCCGTCCCATCAGCCGGGACCCCTTAATCAGACGAAGTTGAAGACTTCATTGAAGATGGCAATTAGTAAACTTAAGTTTATTCAAGACAAGAAAACTGCATTGACAAAGCAGCAAAGGCGCCAATTAGCAGATCTCTTAAACCAGGGAAAAGAATCGAGTGCTAAGATTAGAGTAGAGAACATTATACGTGATGACATATATATTGAATTGCTTGAATTCTTGGAGTTGTACTGTGAGTTGTTACTTGCAAGAATATCTATTATATTGGATCAGTCCCGAACTACTTGTGATCCAGGATTAAAAGAAGCAGTACATTCGATAATATATTCGGCTCCCAGCACAGAGTTGAAGGAATTGACCACGATACGGGAGATGTTGGTATTAAAGTACGGGGTTGAATTTGGAAAAATCGCCATGAATAATGAGGATGGTGCAGTCCCCCAAAAAATCGTAACTAGATGTCAGATAGAAGCACCATCGGAAACCTTGGTCAATTTGTATTTGTGTGAGATTGCAAAGGCTTACCAGGCTCCTTATTCTGGAATGAAGGATTTGGAACCTTCAGACGAAGAGGATGCGTTAGACGGGGAGACCGACGATTTAGATGACAAAGATGATGATGAACCAAGTGGCGGTGAAGCTTTGAAAATTGAGCCAGGAGTAGAGGAACCTATACTGGAGAAAGTTTCAGAAGTTAAGCAGAAAAAGAAGGGTGCAACATCAGCTCCTCGTACGGACCAAAATGACTTTGATTCGTTGAAAGCCCGCTTTGCTGCATTGAAAGGAGGCCCCAAATAATTTAAATACTATTTAGTAGCTTATATTGCAAGACTTTTGAACTGTTATTACGTATAGTTAGCGATTTGAGAGTTATGATGTGCTATAATCCGTAGAGTTGATGATTTATTTATCTATGTGCGATCCGAAATTTTATAAGTAAATAAATAATACTCATGTTTTGAAGCGATTCAATTACAGACACAGCTGCATATATTATGCTTCAACCGCAGATATTGACTGCCAGGCAACAGCAGGAGCTAAATAAGGCAATTATTCAGTATATAAAACCTATAGCTGAAGAGGCAAATGATAATGAGCTAATTCAAAAGCTTTCTGAAAGCTTAGATGTTCCGTTAGTCTCTATTGATGACAGTGTTATTCCTAATTATCTAGAAAAAAAATGGTCAACAGTATTAAGGTTACAACGTAAGATCATTGATTTAGAAGGTGAAGTAAGTAACTTGAGAACGGTTATTGATTCACAACAAATAGTTCCTTCAGCATCAGCATCAGTTATTGGTAAAGATAAAATTAATTGGTTACCAAGTTCATCTATAAGGACTTTCAAAACCCAATCACATCAGTTGATACAATCAGTATCGATTCATCCTACTCTTCCTATAATTCTTGGGGGATGTTCTGACGGATCACTCATTATATGGAATTTAGTGAATGATGAATCTTTAATTCCAGAGAAAATCATTAAAGCACATATAAGAGGTGTAAATACTATAGCTTGGTCCAAAAAGCCGGTTGATTTATCAGGAAGAGTTAGTGAAGCTAAGAATATGACTCATGTTATTGCGACTTGCTCCTCAGATTTATCGATTAAGATTTGGGATGGTGCAACATTTAAGCATATAAGAACCTTAACAGGTCATGAACATACTATTTCGTCTATAGTATTTTCAAGTTCGAAGCCTAACATTCTTTATTCAGTTTCTCGTGATAAGACTGTAAAAGTATGGGATTTGGTTAATGGGTATTGTATTAAGAGTTTCATTGGTCATAGTGACTGGGTTAGGGATATCGATGTGATTAGCGTTAATTCAAATCTTCTTCAAGAGCAACCGGATATTAATCCAGAGCTAGGAGACTTTTTAGTTACTTGCTCTAATGATCAATCAATCAGGTTATCGCATGCGGAATCAGGAACTGGTTTGTCACTTTCAATTGGCCATACTCATGTCATTGAATGTGTCAAGTTCTTGCCGTTTCATTCGAACTATATTATAGACAAGTATATTAAAGAAAATGAATCACTTTTTCCAAATATATCGACTGAGGTTATAGATGATCCAAACTACAAAAACTTATTAGGATATAAATATTGTATATCAGGCGGCCGTGATAATAGTATTAAATTATGGCTTATACCGCCCCCAGTTTTCAGGCCTCATAGACATCCTCTTCCTTCTCAATTGAATAATTCCCAGGGGTGGTTAATTGCAGATTTGGTGGGTCACCAATCATGGGTTAAATCATTACATATACATCCCAATGGAAGATTTGTATTCAGTGGGAGTGATGATAAAACAATCAAGATCTGGGATCTTGCGAGCTTGAATGTAAACGGTAGAGTTAAGTGTGTGAAAAATTTGACTGGCCATGAGGGGTTTGTGAATGATATAGAGTTTGCAAGTTTCGAAATTAACAATAATATTTATAGTTCAAAAACTGAGGATGGAGGCAAAGCTAAAACAGAGGAAGAGAGACGCAACGAATTAATGAAATCAATAGAGTCCAAAATTAGGTGCTTGTTTATAAGTGGAGGAGTGGACAATTGTATTAGATTATGGAGTTGAGAAATTGTATTTTTATTGTATAGCTAGATAACACTTCACTAAAAACTATTTAGTTTTAACTATATATTGTGAAGGTGCTCGTTGGGCCCATTCTGTCCAACTTCCATCATATACACGTATTGGAACATTGCATTGAATAACCGATTCCAAAGCTAATCTTAATATGACTGCCGTAACCCCAGTTCCACACATAACAATTATTTTCTTGCCATTCGTGGGGTTTGGTTTAGAAAAATCTATACCGAAGTCCTGTTTGAAAAGTTCAATCAATTCTTCTTTGGTCTTATAAGTGTTATCAGATTGATTGAGAACTTTAGAAAATGGTAAAGATAATGAAGATGGAATATGACCTGATGATAAGCCAGGCCTAGGTTCTGGGGATGCTCCTGAAAATCTGTCAGTCGACCGAGCATCAAAAGTAACATATTCTTCATCCAATTTACCATTTTCAACTAGTTCAATTAGTTCTTCATAGTCTATAACCTGGTTTCTATAATTTTCTTTGACGTTTTCTTCAGAAATTGGCTCGTATTCTAAGATCTCCGAATCTGTTTGAGTACTCAACGATGTAACTTTCTTTGTCTCCACTGGATACTCGTACTTTTTGTAGGTATTATAGTTATTCAAGAGGTAAACCTTATCATGCCCATGAAGTGTCAAGTTCCAGGCGGCCCTAGGACTTGAAAATATACCACTTTTGTCGTAAACCACTAATGTATCACTTCTGCGAATCCCTAAATCGGACATAGATTTATTGAATACACCATAAGGAGGCAACATATGAGGATATTGCGAATCAGGGAGACAAATTGAATCAAGGTCAAAGAAGGCAGCGGATTTAATACGGTCCTCATTCAAGAATTGATCTTTTCCGTTAAACGGAGAATTAGGCATGTACCATGAAGCATCAATAGGGATTACTCGAGATTGATTAGATGAGCTTGACAACAAAGCTCTAAAACCAGAGGGTGAAACAATTCTTATCGCTTTACTTGACATATTTGCCTTAAGTTCCGAAGTATCAATTGATTTATTTTGGTACATATTCATCGACTAAGGAGTCGATCATTGTGGATTTAATCTTATCCAACACGTGAATAAATGGATAAGCGAAAAGTTGCAAAAATCTGCCAATTGTATATTTTAAAGTCGTATTTATAGTATTTACTCTACAACATTAAGGTTTTCACTCAAACGGGAGGTGTCAGCCTTCATAAATTCTCTTAAAGCCATCGTAGCATAAGAACTTACACCCAATTGCATTCTTAAGACGACTGCTTTTTTATCTGCGTCTGCACTATTAGATTCAATGACTCTGCTGATTTCTGGGATAGGTTCGCCCTTTGACTCGGCTTCTTTCTTTAAACGTAAAATCTCTAAATCAGTTCTAACTAATGATTCAGTTGAATCAGAGTAGTTGACAATATCATATGATAAATTGGTTGGTTTACCCATGATCGGCCTGTACGAACCGGCCAATGAAAACTCTCTTACTCTTCTAGCCATGTTGTGAGGGTCTAAACCATCTTTAGCCATAGCATCGACATAGACCTGTTCTAATTGCTTATTGGCAGGGTAAATGATATCGAAACCTGGTGTTGGTAAGACGATGTCGTAAATTGTGTATTTACCACTTTCCACATCTTCTTTAGTTAAAGGTCTGGCCCTAATGTACTTGTCCGTTACTACGTCTTCTTCAAATTCATCATCATCCTCTAAGTTAGTTTCGGTCTTGGCTTGCTTATCAACAAGAACTAAATCCCCTTCTTGCACTTCTAAACCAAATAACTCAAATCTTTTGGAAACCACTAAATTCCAAATGTATGATTGGTATGCATGGGCATACATAATTCTCAAATTTCTTGGGATAGACATGATACTTTTGAAGTAAGATTGCTTGCTGAAATTGTCTTCTTCGTCATAAGATTCTTTGTCTAACGTACTCAAAATGGCATGTTCAGCAGTACAACGACGAGGCATCTTTTTGAGCGCTAAAGTGGGATTAGAAGTTTCTGCCCAGATACGTCTTGCTTCAATCGAATCTGGAGCTACAATCTCTTGCTCAGATAGAATCAATTCTGCAGCTCCTTTCCAGTCTTCTTTCAAAATATAAATACCGAGAACATGCGTAGATATCGAAAACGTCCCAAATCTTTGCATACCGTAATAATTGATGTAACCCTTATCTCTTAACGAAGTGAAACACTTTGAAACCACATCTTCAACATTTTCTGCTGCATTAAATGATTTTATGTCTCTGATTGTGATTACGAATTCATTACCATTTAAATCACCCAATCCCAACGATCTGTCTTCATAAGCAAAACCTCCTAAGACAGCATTTTTTAAACCCTTATTCAAGGAGCTGACTCTAGCAACTTTACCACGATGAATGCAAAATCTCTGGCAAGTAATTCCTCTTCTATCTTTAGTACCAGCGTATCTGATACTCTTCGAAGGAATACGCAAGAATTTAGAAATAGTAGATGCCACTTCCATAGTCTCTCTATTTTCTTTGTAAACAGTGAAGTGTAAGTAATATTTAAATGGACCCAAACCATAATTTACGACACCATTTTCATCAACATGATTAATACTTTCTTGAGGGTTCTTTCTTCTTGGATTCTTTGAATTCTTAGCCAAAGCGATTCTAAAGGTATTCTCGGCTGAAGTGACACTTTCCAATTTACTTTGAAATGCTTCACGAAGTAATTGATGCAATTTTCCACGGGTTTGTTTTTCTGGGAAACTTGTTTTGGTCTCCATATTATTACCAGTCGTGAACAACTCCTCAATTTGCTTTAATTCATCAACCGTAATCAACTCTAATAATGCTGCACGATTTTGCTCGGATAACTCATACTTTTGTTGAGAATCGTCTTCAGTTTTCTTAGCTTCTTCCTCAGATTTTTTGGCTTCCTTAATTTGTTCAATTTCTTCAGGTGTCTTGTTTTGTAAGTCAGCTCTCTCAATTTGTCTTTTTTCAAACTTCTTTTCTTTTCTTGTCTTTCCAAGATTGACACCTTCATCTAGCAAACGTACTACTTCACCATTAAGGTCAATTTCATTAACAAGGAAATCAGAATACCTTTGCTTAATGGTACCAAAAAAGCCGCCACCGGTTCTATTAGCTTCGTTAATGAATTGCGTAATACCAACTTCATTTTCCTGAACAACTTTTGTAGCTCTAATTTGCTGATCAAGCTTCAATTTTTTAGATGGATCCACAGATTCTTCTATGTTTCTTTTTACGGGATTTACCTCTTCCATAATTGATTTACACCTCGTTTTAAAAATCTTGGGAATCAATCTATGTGGTACCGAGAATATTTATTTCTTAAGTCTATACATGAACTATTGATTGATAAATAATTTACAAAGACTTAATTTTTCTTGTTTGATTTTTTCATCTCATCGAATTTCGGCCGTACAATAAAATAGTACTAAAATTCACCAAAACTAACGAATTAGATTAATATGTCTATTGGGCTGGTTTATATAAAGTTGACTAAGAAATGAATTCATCTATATTCCAATACATGTAGGCTTTAGTATCTTGTTTTATTATGGTGTATGTATTGTGCTAATGGATTCGGACCATTTCCTATTGCCGCAAATTGAAGTCACAAATCCAATATCTTATATATATATATATATACGGCTACTTTTTCATAATATTTTGTATATCATGGTTCTCTAGAAAACGTATTGCTTATAACTTTTGCTAAATCGATTGCTTTTTTTGAACATTCTATACCATATGTTTAAAAAGTTGGCTCCCATTGAGGCCCTTTCTATCAACAAGGCTAGTCCTCAGAATCGCTTACAGTTGACCCACATCAAAGATTCTCCGACATTGGATAACGAAACAAAAAGCTCCAGAATTACATCATTGACAAGCATGTGGAGTGACCATACATATTCTGAGAAGAATGAAAAGGTTGGCATTAGACGACTCGCTAGAGCTTGTACTAAATCGCTAAGCCAATGGAACAGTGGGGTTCTTAATTCCGAAGATGAAAGGAACGACTTATCTACCCACTATTCAAGAAATAGCTATTTATCTAATAGGTCGCTCCTTGAATCAGATTATAAAAAACTTGCTCATGTTGAAAAGAAGCATGAAAATGAACTAGAAATAAGAAGATTGCGGAAGCTTCATTTTGATAGACCAGATTCTACAGCAGACTCAATAGGTAAACAGCAGAGAAAGGCATTGGGTGTTTCGAAGCCTTCACTAGAGAATATTGCGAACAATTCTGTAAGAGATTCCAAATCCGATGTTAATATGACATCCAGGAAAACTCTGGATTCATTTCAACCCAAGAGAGTAGTAGTTATCAAAGATGTGTTTACAAGCTGTGGTGCTAAGAGTATCATCTCTCAAGTATGCGGTGGGCCATTGGAACGAATAGTGTTTCATGAGCATAAAAAGGGTTTGATGATGGAATTATACTTTATTTTTCCAGACCACGCCAAAAGCTTCCATAACTTAGGTTCCAATACAGGCTTATTGGTTTTAAATGGAGAACGATTGTCTTTAGAATGGGCCAATAAAAATAATTCACATGAAGTTGAATATTGTCATCCCTTTGTTCCAAAGTATTTGATGCACGAAATTAATTATTATGGCGCAAGAAGATGTTTGATATTCTCTAAAACCGTACCAGATAAATTAACCAGACACTCACATGCAATGCATTATCCATCTCCGAGAACACATTTGTCGAGAGATCTTGATATTGAGGAGATCAGAAAGGATTTCGCAGCCTTTGGTGAAATTATTGATATTGCATCTGTAATATCAAGAAAACTCTGCTTCTGTTTACATTTTGCAGATATTAGATCAGCTATAATAGCAAAGAAGGAATGTGAACATGAGGGTAGTTTATTCAATTCAAAATACAGCAATTGGTCAATTTGGTATGGAAAGGACCCAACGGATAAACCATGTCTTTCAGCGTAGATGCTCATTAAAATTTTTAGGTATAATATACGTTATTAGCTTTCTATATAATATAACTACAAAAGACAATATATTCCTCAGAAGCTTTTGACTCTTTGACAGAATAGTTTTGTAGTTGAAGTACAAGTTCATGCATTTAGTAGACGATGCTATTAGGCTTCCTAATACGGAATAATTGTAAACACTCGACAATATTAAAATACGATTAGAAATAAGGACAAAAACACCAAAACTAATATTTATTTCTTTACAGCAAAAACAATATAATTGAAGTTAACTACAGATGTCTCAACAGAGAACTCCATTGAGATCAAGGTCATCGTTGGCCAATTTTTCCTCGGCTGGAATATCGACACCCCTGCAACAAACAACAAAACCACGCGCAACGCTTACAGAATTAAGAAGACCACCATCTTCACGAACAATAAGACCAGCCTCTCCTAGAATGACTACGACTAGATCGAGACCAAGTTCAGCTATGGGGAACTTATCTAGTGGCAGTAGCCGGCCAACTACTCCTTCATTTGTCAAGCAAGTGCCATATACTGGTACTATTACAGTTTCGATTAGACCAAACCCTCATAGTTTCAATGCAGCAAATTCTCCCTGGGAAATCGAACAACATTCGAATACAATAAATAACATATCGGACTCAGTTGCATATAGTTTCGACAATGTATTTCCACCAGAGTCTGCGTTAACTAACAGAGAAGTCTATTATAAATCATGCTCTCCAATAGTCAACAAATTCCTCAATGAAGGGTTCAATGGAACTATATTTGCGTACGGTATGACAGGATCCGGTAAAACTTTTTCAATGAAAGGTAATGAACAGGATCCAGGATTTGTTAAATTGTCAATCGATGATATTTTCAATAAGATTGAAAGTGACCGAGGAAACAAACAATTCAGTATCAGTATAACATATTTGGAAATATATAACGAGAAAATAGTAGATTTGTTGAATACTTCGACTTTAGCTGAACTTAAGATAAGAGATGACCCGGTGTATGGTACTAAAATTGTTGGTATTACATCTCCAATCATAAATTCCAAAGAACAACTTTTACTGTTGATTAGGAAAGGTGATAATAATAGAAAGACAAGCGCTACTGATTTTAATGCAAGATCTTCAAGATCACACTCCATCTTACAAATCAAATTAAACACTATTGACTTGGTCAATAGTACAGAGCAAAATTCAACTTTATCATTATGTGATTTAGCGGGATCAGAAAGGGCCACTTCAAGCTTAGAGAGGAGGAAAGAAGGTTCTTACATTAATAAATCTTTATTGGCTTTGTCTACAGTTATTAATAAATTGTCACTCTCGTCGTCAGGATTAAGTTCGCCTAATATGGGTAACGACCACATACCATACAGAGATTCAAAATTAACTAGATTATTACAACCAGCCCTATCTGGATCCTCGTTAGTACTGATTTTATGTACAATTCACTTAGGATCATTTAGTTCAGCCCACAACCAACAGTTTATATCGGAGACATACAATACCTTAAGATTTGCAGCAAGAGCAAAAGACATAGTGATTAACGTCAATAAGAACCAACAATCATCGATAGGTGGTGCTGAAACAGCCAAGCTTTTAGAGGAATTAAAGAAAACTATTGAAGACCAAAAAAATGAAATTTCTATGTTGAAGTTACACTCAAGTGATGACACAAACATGGATAGTAGTTCTCTTATACTAGAGAAGAATATGAAGATTGCACAGGTAGTAGCCGAAAACCAAATATTAACTGAAAAATTAGAGCACCTAACAAGATTAAATGATTTACAGAAAACTGAAACAATAATATTACGCAACGATACTTTGAATGATTTACTCGGAGCAGGGATTGATAACCTGTTACTGCAAGTAATGATGGCTAACTTGGAAGAATTTTATAAAAGAGTAAATTATGAAATAGATGAATGCAAATCATACATTGGTCATTTAGAGAACCAATTGAAGATATCATACCAACAGAATGCATTTAAGAACGACTCTAACAGTGCTGCGAAAGAGCCAATAGATAAACATATGGATGCAGTATTAAAAGATCAAGAAGAAGAAATTATCCACTTGAAAGAACTATTAAAGGATAAAGACCATGTTATCAAGAGTCTTACTAAAACAACTAAACTTCGCAAGTTGATAGATTCAAACTATAACGATGAAAATAAGCAATCTAATATAATAAGTGACTCCAGTGACAAGGAAAATTTTTCGGATTTAAAAGAATTCAATATAAATCAGAAGAAGCCACATGTTAGCCTAGATATTTATTAATGCAAAACTGTACAATAAAATAAGAACGACACAACTTTTATATAATATAAACAATATAAGTTTTCAATTTCAAAAGATCTATAACGAGTATCTAAAGCTAGGGTTTTCTTTGTCAGTCAAGTCTGCAAATTCGTGATTTTGAATGTTTTCAAATTCTTCATTTTTATCTAATTTATCTCTCTTCTTATTATCAAGAGCATATACGAACCAAATTACAATGAGTACAGCTAATGAAGCGAACCCATTGACCACGATAGAAATTTTTGCTCCAGTGTACTTAGGTGCTTGGGTGTCAATGAAAGTTTGAGGTCCAATAAGGTTACCAACACAGTAGCCAACCAAGAAAATAGCATTTGTAGTAACCTTCTTTGTGTGACCTGCCACGTTAGAAGAGATAATAGATAATACACAAATGAATCCAATTGGGGAAAATGTGTATAGGGTAAATCCAGCATATTGTACCTTATCTTTACTAGAAAATGCCAACATGCATTCGGATATAACAACAATAACAGTACCAGCTATAGCCCAGAACATACGATAAGGAAAGTAAAGTACACCACATGCAAATAAAGTACAACCAACAACTTCAACTGCACCTTGTGGCATTTGCATCAACAAAGCATGAGCTGGGGTGTAACCCATACCAGTTAACAAAATACTACCAAAATTAGTGATACCACCGTTAGGAATATTATTGGCAATTGCGAATAAAAAGAACAACCAAGTCTTAATATCTGTAATCGCTTCTATAAATTGATGCTTTTTAAAGTGTTTATTACCAAACCCTTGTTGATTTGATCTGATTCTCTCCACAACAAGCACCTTTTCTTCATCACTAAGAAACCATGCTTGTGCTGGTGTATCAGGCAAATGGAACATAACAACGAAACCTAAGAAAATTGTTAAGCAGCCAGTGATAACAAAAATCAATTTCCAAGCTTCCATAGTGTAAGAACCATCATTCATATAAACATTATATGCAATTGCCCCAGACCCAATCATCGTACCAACACCGTTACAACTGAACCACAAGGCGGTTCTGATGAACTGTTCTTCTTTCTTATACCATTGACTGGTCAAAATAACAAATGCTGGGGTGACTGAACTTTCTAACATTCCCAAAATAGTTCTCAAAGCAATGAAACCAGCATAATCTGGAACTGAATGCAAGCATAATATAACCCCCCATATAATAATAAACACAGACACTGTTTTAACAACTGGGAATCTCTGTAACAAGAGCGAGGCAGGAAATTCGAATACCAAATAACCAAGGTAAAACGCAGTACCGGTCCACGAGTACATATCTCCAACCATATTCAAATCTTCTCTCAATCCCAAAATCGATGCAAATGAATTAGATAATTTATCCATAAATTGGAAACAATACAATAAGCACATCACTGGCATCAAGCACATGTCGATTTTACGAAGTATTCTTCTATTTGTTTTTGCATCGATTTCGACTTTCTTTTCGTCATCAATAAATTTCATCGCTTCATCGACATCATTCGTAATGTTAACAACTTTACCGGTATGTGGGGATACTATAGTTGTAATAACGTTATCTTCCATATCAAGGCTAGTGTCAACCTCTTGCACTTTGTTTGTAGCATATTGTTTTTCATCCATCATGGTTTGAATATTTTTAAGGTTCTATAGTGAAAAATTAAACAACTAATACCATCGTTACATCTTTATATATATATATATATATATATATTCTGCAGTTGGATTTATCGGCAAAGTGGGCCGTTATTTGGTAAGTTATCATTATCTTATCTAGTATTTGAACTCAAACCCGATCAGCAGCACAAAACGAAGATAAGCTTTAAGCTTTCGCCCACCTTTTTGTGTCAAAACTTTATAGATAAGAAATTGTTTGTTTATTGGTTTTATTATCTCGCCGAGTCAAACCTAGAACGGTTGAGGTAGGAAACAAGACCCGGGTACAGAGCCTCAGAACTCTTATAAGCTGATAACTGTATGGGGATATCTGGCCGAGTCATAGTCAATATCTAAAATTATTATGAGATAATGTTTCTAGAATTTGTACACCGTAGACGATACAAATTAAATTCGGATCCATGCTCCATTATCAGATATGCCAAGACCAAACTCTCAGATATTTGAAGGACATGTTACATTGATCGAAATGCACTTAGGTGTAGATAAGAATGAAATGACATGTAATTAATGTGTTCTTTATGCGTTCAATACTTGTAGGAAGATGCTAGTAGATATCTATATTGTCTATATATTGGTATTCAAGAAATTAAGTATTATATCAGCTCAACCACGAATTGGAAGGGCGAGATTGACCAACCTGCAAATTAGCTCTTTTGGTAGACTGACTTGGTTTATTAGAGTTCGCTAACATTTTGCGTTGTTGTCTTAGCTGGGAATTAAAGTTACCTCCATTTCCAATGATATCCTTTTGGCTGTTATGATCCGGAATAGCCGGTTCAACGACCGTTTTAGGTTTTAATTTGAAGTCATTCAGATCTTGCTTGAGGACATTAACCAATTTGTTATTAATCATACGTTCACCACGGTTGAAAAGTCCTGTTTGGTCTTTGATACTAATTTTGTAGCTCATTCGTTCGTTTATCTTGTCATCTTTAAACAAATCAATTATGTCATTATTGAATATTTGAGTTTTGCGATTCTTTCCTAAAACAACGCCATTAATAAGACACGAGTTAGTACTAAGATCTAAAAGCCAAATATCATCGAGACAATGGGCAGGACTTTCATAGATTGAAGAAGTTAACACAGGATGACGTTTCTTTTGTATTAAACAGTGTATCTTCGATATTCTATCGTCATTGATAAATGTATCACACGTTTCATTACGTCCTATCGCGTATGGGTTAACCCCCTGTCTAATATAAATAGGCTTGTTGTTAACTGTTTTATCAACCGGTAAAAGTATTATAAATGTATCTAATGGGACTTCTTCGTTGATACTTAGACTTTCTAGCTTTATTCTTTTGGAAGTATCTATTGGTTCAGATGAATCAATTGGTCGTTTACCGTTGCTTTGATGTATATTATCATTTGTTATGTCTTGCAAACTATGATCATTTATACTATTATTTTGGCCTTGAATCTTGGTCTTATTCGCTGGTACTTCGTCATGTACATATCCGTTAGCTTCAATTGGTCTTTTATCATTGATTTGGCTCTTTGGTTTTGCAATTGCCTTTTGTTGACTTGCGGGTTGCTGGGATGGCGGTAAAACCACTCTTTTTGGTACCTTGAACTGGTTTTTCTCTAACGGCCTCACCATATCATTATCAATCTTTCGTAATTGTTGACTTTGTGATTGCGAAAGACTCATTTCTTCATTATCGTCTTTTATATGCGATAACCATTTATGCTTTAATGCACCCTGTGCAGTTATTCTCAATCTGGGATTTACCTGTAAGCAACAATTTAAAAAGTCCTTACCATCTGCAGAGACATTATACGTGTTTAGTGGTGATTCATGATATTCTGCATTTTTAATTTTCGTAAACATTTGAGCTTGGGTCTTACCATTGAATGGTAAATGAGATGTTAATAGCACATAGACAAGGCAGCCTAATGACCATATGTCAACTAATGATGAGTAATTATTTGAGTCATTAGCATCATATTTACCTGTAATTATTTCTGGTGCAACGTACGCTAATGTCCCACAGAAAGTTTTCATGAATGTGACATTGTCACTTAGCTTAGCCAACCCAAAGTCAGTGATTTTAATCAAGATGGGATCATCCTGCATTATTAAAATATTATCCGGTTTCAAGTCTCGATGAGATATGCCCATTTTATGAACATAATTTATGCCTTCCAAAATTTGCTTGGTAATCACTTGGGTCGCATCTTCACCGATTGCACCATTTGCTGCTACAAAGTCCATTAAATCACCACCGGGAACATACTCCATAACTAGATAATAGTTATCAATGTCTTCATAAAATGATTTCAAGTAAACAATGTTTGGGTGGTCTAATTGTCTCAAAATCGATAGTTCTCTATTTACACCTTCCATTGATTCTCCATTTTTCAACGCTTTCCTTCGATTTATTATCTTCACAGCATATGACTTCCCTGTAGACCTCTCAATCGTCTTTTTAACGGTCGCAAACGCGCCCTGCCCGATAACCTCATTCTTCACAATAAAATCCTTGTATATTCCCTGTTCTTTTATGTCTGGATTCGAAAATTTCGATGGGTTGAACTTATCCTGAAACAATATCACGAATTTTACCACATCCTTAGGAATACCGTTCCCCACTGATATTTCATCTCCCTGATTCAACATGTAATTCGATCCTTTTACTAATCTACTATTATTCAAATGCGTCCCATTAGTAGACATATCCTGTATCCACAAAGTATTATACTGCGTATTAAACCATAATTTAAAATGTTTATTTGAAAGCCGAGTACTTAAATTGAGCGTATAATCACATTCCAGGTTTCTACCTATTATCCATAAGTTTTTATCTTGCGTTAAGTCAAAGTGGGTATACTGACCAGTAGTACAAACCAACCGACATATGTACGACTTATCCGAATCATCAACATCCTGTGTCGCTGGCGACTGTTGAGTCGGTTGCGTTTGTGTTGGTTCCGTAAATTCCATTACTTGTTAGCCTTATAGTTGTTACCATAATAAACCATGTAATGAATTTTTTAATATTGACGCGGTTCAAAAACCATCACGTGATGTTGATAAAAATGCTCTGGTCTATTATGTCGATTTTTCAACATGGTTTATGGGTTTATTTTGAAGGCTCTTTTGGGTATGATATAGAGGATACAACCGTATGAATAAGAGGAAGCAGGTTTGAAATAAGAACTCATTAAAAATTATTTTATTCTATTATTATATTATTATATACATGCATGATGATACTACAGTATTTAAGCGATACTTTTGACGGAATGGGCAAATGAAGTGATCGGTTGAAGATCGTGATTGTCGTTTGGGACTCCGTTTTCATCAATGTAATCTAACTTATTCAATTCGTCTTCTCTGTAGTTGTAATGTTTGAAGATGAACCAGAAAGCAGTACCTGCAATGAAACAAGATACAGCTAAACCAGTGTAGTTCCAGACCAATTTAGGATCTTCGGATGTAGAAGATAAAGCAATACCAATAGTAGAACCAAAGGCATTGGTAACTAAGAACAATGAAGTGATAAAAGATTTCATGGAAACTGGAGCTTTAGTGTAAGCGTACTCTAAACCGGTAATAGATGCAAAAATTTCCGACATGGCAATCAAGAAATAAGCTGGAGCTTGGATGGCAACGTGAATGTGGTTTGGAACATCTTCGTAACCAGCACACTTTAATGGCTCATCGTAACAAGGACCAGTAGAGTAAATATAATGCTGTAAAACAGCGGCGTAAACCATGGAACCAGTAGCAAACATGTAACCCATGGTAATTCTAGTGATGGCCTTGAAAGGAGTAAATTTTCTGATAAATGGATAAAGAAGTCTTTCACAGATTGGAATGAATATAATAATTGCAATTGAATCGATGGCTTGCAAAATATCGTTTGGCAATTTATGTGTTTCCATTTGAGCAGCTTGAGAAACGAAGTTGTTAAGCATTTGTCCGTAAACAACCCAGTAGAGAGGATAGAAGGCAAAAACTTTACAAGCATAGATAGCTCTCTTAACTTCTTCGACGAATTTGTCACTCCATGGGTAATCCTTTTCTGGAGAAACTGATGGTTTAGCAGAATTCAAATTGAATCTATTCTTTATACCAATGAAGGTGATTCTGAAAGATTTTGCGATGACCTTATCAGAGACTGGTAATTGGACATATTGCTTTCTACCGAGCAATAAAGCACCGATTGCGATAAAGAAAAAGCAGAAAGGCAATAAGTATGCGGCCCAGAATCCGACATTAGATTCTAATTCTGTTGTGGCAATGACAGATAAAGAACCAATATTAATCATAAGGTAGAAATACATGAAGACGTTTTGAATAGTAACATTTGGATCTTGAATGACACGTTCACCAGATTTTAAAACCTTGATAATTGGTAACGTCTTTGGAACTTGGTCAGCAATTAATGGCGAAACGTTGGACTTAACACCACCGGTACCAATACCGATAATAATAATAGCAACAACATATCCACCTAATGCTGTAGTTTCACTCATTGATGGGAGCGAAGTGATGAATAAGATGAAAATACCAACCGTGTATAAAATAGAGAATGCAATAATAGTATTTAACTTACCCCAATAAGTATCAGCAACCCAAGCACCAAGAATTGGTGTAACGTAACACCAAAATTGGAAGAAATAAGATAAAGCAGTAGCACCTTGCTGGGCCAAATTTAACATACCCTTTGGCTTGCTATATTGCATATAGTTTTGAAATGGAGCACTCAAACCTAGAAAGAGAATCTTTCAGCCAATTCAACGACGGCTACAAGCCAACATCTTAAAGGAATTGGTTCCGATACATGTCTCAAGGTCTTCATTTCTTCTGGAGTTGGGGTTCTACCTTCATCCTCTTCAACTGGCCCGGACAACTGATCTTCGTTGGTTTGGGTATCTTCTTGTACGATGGCTTCCTCATATTTTTTTTCCATCAGTTCGGTTTCAGCAACCTTTTCGGTGGCATATTCACTCATGGTATATTAAGCTTAGTGTAGAAGAGTACAGCCAAGAAATATATACAACAGTATCTAATACAATAATATAGTATAATAGTGTATGCTGAAGGAAAAAAAATTTAACGGAAGATCATTCGTTTTATATCGATTCATCATCTTGTTATCAAATACCAATAAAATGATGGATAGTGGAGATAACACAACTAAGAGCTGCAATATACGCATACTACGTGTGACTAACTTGATTCTATCCACTCATCTGTCAGATTTTAATGCAACGGAAACGCACTTCTACTAAAGGCATTTCAAATATCATAAGGCAATTTGTGTTTATAAGGCATTAAAAGAAGAAAAATTGTACATGCGATGAATTTCCGAGCAATAATTTTTGCGATGGGCCGTATGCCGATGTGGCCACCTTTAAGGCACTCTTATACCCTTTGATGTGTTTCAGTGTAGGTAATCCGTTATCGCTTACCCTTGAAAACTATGTCAATCTTATCGATCATTACATACCCTTTCGTTCCCAATTTTGGTACTGTGAAAGTTTTAAAAACCGTTGGTATGGGGTAATAGAGGAGGAACGTTGAAAAGGATTACGTGCAGTATATGTCATATTTTTGCAATACTCATCGACTTGCTCTACATTAATGCCTTACATATGTAAATTACATAAGCGATACCTTTGACGGAGGGTTCATGATGAAGGTGACACCGGTCCGGAGCACTCGCGTCATGAGAAGCAGAGAATAATCCCTTCACCGGCATTAAATCATGAATAGGCGGGATACTTTGGACGATAATAGTGGGGTATGGATAATTAAGTACTCTTCGGCCATAGTAAAAGTGGTGCAATTTTTTTTGTACTAAATGTTGCGAAATAGAACTGCAAAGAAAAAGAAATCAAGATTGCATTATCGGAAAAATATACCGTATTTCGGATAAATGATCCGCGCAAGACATATTGTTCTTCGGAGAGTATAGATGCAAAAGTGAAAGGGACCAAGAAAGTAATGATGTAAATAAGCGAAAAAATAATGAAACTACTGTGATAAGATCAATTGTTAGGGCGATATAATATTGGTGGTTAAATCAGGGGTAAATGAAAGTAAAGAGTATGTGGTACCGAGATGGGATCAGTAGAAACAGTCGAGCCGTGCATCGTACGTTTCGGTCTCGATAAGAAAAAATGGCTTCAACCTAAAAAACGGGAAAACGCATAAAGGGTCGTTACATAACTGCCATATAGAGATGGATTCTCATAACAATGGAGACCGTGTATTGCACATCTAATCTAATCTAAATATACGAGGAAGGCCGTTTAACAGGTACCCTTCAAAGAAATTGATTGGAAATGGAACGTCTGAAGTTCTGGACTTAGTGTACGGGCCAGTAACCAGGGAACAAGAAATGCATCTTTTCTAAAACTTCCTTCTTGACACCTTGAGGACTAGTACTGACTGAATACTTCATTGATCCCTGGAGGTCGTCACCAAGTCCCAAGGAGCCCTCTGTAAACTCCTTGGCGATAACATCAACCAATTTGGTGGCCATTTTGCACGCATTAGCCGAGTTGGCCTTCAAGTTACCCACTACTGTCTCCACAGTGACAGGTTCTTCGTCTTCATTCCATGAATCGTAATCAGTGGACATACAAATCATTTGGTAGGCAATTTCGGCCTCTCTTGCCAACTTTGCCTCTGGCAAACAAGACATGTTGATGACAGAGCCACCCCACGATCTGTACAACTTCGATTCAGCTCTAGTACTGAATTGTGGACCTTCCATACAGATCAATGTCAAATCTTCACCCTTGTTGGTTTTGGCCTTACTGTGGAAGGTTGGGATGTCCTTACCGTCATGTTGGTCCAAGAAACCATTAGTTTCAAAGCTGTCAGTGATGAGCTTATTCAACTTGAGATCAAATGGTTCCCCAAACATAGCGTGGGCCACGAACCCCTTCTCGAAAAATGTCGATGGTCTGATCCCCTTGGTTCTGTCGATCACCTGCGTAGGAATAACAAAATCTCTTGGCTTAATTTCTGGTTGCAAAGATCCAACAGCAGAGAAAGCAACGATAGCCTTGACTCCAATCTTCTTCAAAGCAGCCATGTTAGCTCTGGATGGCACGTCAGTAGGCAATAAATCGTGCTTCTGTCCATGTCTAGCTAAAAACGCAACTGGAAACCCACTTTCAGTCACAGAAATGGTAATTGGCGACGAAGGATATCCCCATGGTGTAGAAATTGTCAATCTTGCTACCGGCTTCAAGTTTGGCAAGTCGTATAATCCGGTACCACCGATGATAGCGAGTTGGACCGGTTCGTTAAATTCATGAGGTAACTGCGATAAGTTGATTTCTTCTCTATGTACTGACATTTTTTTTTAATAAATTGCCCTGTTTAACACAATGCTAGAATGTCTATGTTGTTGATTCAAACGTACTAGATTCTTTAATTAATCAGAGAATCGTGGGACTAAATCGTGGGTTCTTCCACCACCAAACGTGATTTTTCAGTCCAAAGTGTCTAACATGCAAAATATTCAAATTTGACCCAACCTGTAAACGCCCTTATATTTGAACGCTTTTCGATGATACTCTATATATCGGTTTAATGTTCTTTCATGAACGACTGATAACTATGTTTCCAAGAACAAAGATACCTTTAAAGGGTGTTCGTTTGACACTTAAACAGGCGTCTAGTAAAGGGAGGACTTTTTCTTCGAAGCCGCCGAAGACAGAGGATGGTGTATATTCATATTCGGGGTCACATATAAGTTCCCATTCACACTCGCCACCTCCGCCAACTATAAACAAACACAAGAATAAATACATACCGTTTAAAGATTTCCCCAAGGCACCTGAAAGCATATTAAAACAATCGGCGGAAGAGCTATTTTCAAATATCAATATGAAACCAACAGTACAGAGCACCGGAAATAAGGGTAATTTTGTAGATTTCTCGATACCAGACAAATATCTTAAGAGTCAGATGAAGGATGAAGTGACAGAAAAGGACAAGGCATTAGTAGAGGAGCTCGATAACTTTTTGAAGTCCAACGATCAACTTGAGCAAGCACAATCACAGTTAAATTTTATCAAATTATATTACGACCAGGATACCAATCTGTACCAGCCATTACCAGAACATACGTTAAAAAAGTCCTTATCGGGGATGATTAATTTAAATCCATCTTTGAACGATATTGACGATGAATATTTATGGAAATTAATTCCCAAGGACAAGACTTTTGGTAGTCCTCCTTTTGAGCAGTCCTTAACTAAGGATGGGTTCAAACAATGGGAAAAAGAACAGATACAGAAGCATAAAGCAGAAATAAAGGAAGAAGAAAGCAACAATAAGGAATTTGAAGATTTTAAACAATTATTGCATAACTCGAAGACGTTTTTTAAAGTAAATTCTAATGGTCGCAGAAAGTTGGATAGAAAATTATTGAAAAAGTACAAGCAGTTAAAGCAACAAGGTAAAATTCCTAAAGATTTCAACTTGATCAAGTTTAATGATGATAATGATTTATAATCCTCCTCAGAGAGGGCCCCTACATGTTTATAGTATAAATAATCAATAAAGTATTTTTTAATAACTAAGATTTTAAAGGTTATTCAATAATAATTAATTCAACATCTTCATAGCCGAATTTACTCTTGTTTTCTTCATAGACTTTCTTTAAGCCATCCACATATAACTTATGGTAATGATTGAGAATTTCAGAGGGAATCTTCACTTTTTTTTCTCTTTTTTTGGAATCCTTTTTATTTTTCTTTTTAGAATCCGTTCCATTTCCTTTTTTGCCAGCATCTTTATCACCTTTCTCGCGTGTGTCCTTTTGTTCTGATTCTTCGTCATCGGAATCAAAACCTGGGTGCTTCAATTTGTAATCAGCAATTAGTCCACTAGGAACGTAAATTGGTTCGCCCATGCATATGTCAATCGGGTTTCTAAATGGCAAGAACCCAAAATCATATATGAAAACTCCTCTAGCACTGAAAAATGGGACTGTAAACTGAAATGTAGATTTCATCCATTCTTGAAATTTTGATCCAAGAGATCCCGGTTTAGGATTAGATATCCTGAAAATATCTGCTTCTCCAAATCCGAATGTGGGCACTAAACTTACATTACCTAATTCAATAGCCAATTTAACAAAACCTTTCCGTTTATTCAAAACCAACTGAATTTGTCTAGGTCCTGCAGATTCTTTATCCAGACTGCTACTTTCTTCGACTTGATCAGATTTTTCAGCTTCCGTCCCATTATGTCCATCAAAGTTTTCATTTGGCCTTTCATTATCGGATTGATTATAAACAGTCTCACTTCCTGGGTGCTCTTCGCTTATATCCTGGGATTCAAGATTCTTCTCACCTTTCTCGTTATCCAGATTGCTCTCACTTTCGCTTGATTCCTTTTCTACCTCTATATCTTTCACTAATTGCTTTTTCATGCTGTAATGTTGCACTTCATTCGGATTATACTCCTTGACGATAGGCTCTGTTTCATCATTTTCGCTTTGATCTGATTCATCATTCTTATATCCAATTCCGATTCTTGATCTTGGTGAGACCATGTTATTAAGCAATGACTCCTGTGCACCACCAACGACAAGGCAAACAGAGTTATCACCGTTATTAATAAGACTTTTAATATTCTTGTAAGATGCACTGGTCAATCCTAAGCCCATTAAATAATCACGGTAAAAGGGCAAGGTAAATTGTGTAGTTAAAGTTAAAAGGAAGGTATTACCAACACCTGGTAATAATCTAGTGTATTTAGAAGGATCATGAAAAAATGGCTTCAAAAATCTAAAAGGTGGTTGAAATGGTTCGTTTCGAATTACATTAGTTGCAAACGCACCCATGACTCCCATGGAAATTACTCCATGTGGGTGGTATCCAAAAATATACCTAGGCCCAGTACTTACCTTTTTATATTTCAAAGATTTTCCAGATTTTTTATCACTCGAAGTGGTATCCAGGATATTGTGTGAATCTGTATCATTCAACCGCTTTCTCAATCCTAATCTTTTAAATAATTTATCAATAAGGGTTCTGGAATCCTCTGAAATTAAATCCTCTTCGTCATCATTTCCTTCATGATCATCAACAAGCATCTGTGTGAAAGTTGGCTCCAATTCACATGCTTTGTGGACAGTAATAGGAAAATAATTTACGAACCATTCCCAGATTATGATATTTTTCATCCAGTCCTTAACCCTGTAGACAATTTTACCATTAGTAGGCGTATGAAAATCGAACCAATACCACCAAATAAAGTAAGGAAGAATAATAAAAATCCAGATGATCCAACCTAATGAAATTGCCAATAAGAAAAGACTGACGAAAAATGGAATTGAGAGACAATGCCAGATTACCCCCATAGTTTCTAGTCTATTCTGTAAAGGTGTATTCAATGGAGCAAAATTGACAAACGACTTCTTCCTCTGTGTCTTTGGTTTGGAGTTAGATTTAGTACTAGAACGTGAGCTCCTCCTTGAGCCATTTTCGGTCGGTGAATCGCTTGAACCATGCCTCCTCCGTAACTGCTTTTTTTTATCGCCTGGCGTAGTATGTTCTTCAGAGAATGACGATTGTGACATAGTTATTGTGAAAAATAACTCTTAAGCTACAACCAAAAATAACATCGAGAATATGATGGCGTAGATTGGAATTAACCTAAGGAATACTTAAGAATTAACCATAAGGATAGTTATCCCAATACAGCAACTTTGAGGAGGAGATTTTATGGGGATCGCGAAAGGTGACAGGAAAACCATAATGGGAAATTTTTCACTAGAGAATGCAAAAGATAAATATATGGTCAAATAATGAGTAAAAGGAATAAAGATAAGGCTAATTTACTAGATGCCGATAACCAGAAGACACATTATTGGATTAACCCTAAAAAAAGACGTAAAAGTAATTTAATTGGCAATCTTTGGAATAAGATTGATGTATCGCAAACACATCACAATACACCATTTATTAAGTTATTCCAGGGTAAAGAGACCGACAAGGAAGTCGAAAATAGATATGAGTTATTTAACAGAATCTGGAATCATCAGTTGTTCAAGATTCAAACTATTTTAGATAATGAAAATACCGAGTTATTCGGAAAACTCTTGCAGTACATTGATGCGCCATTTGATTACGGAAAGAATGATACACATATTGCCATTAACAATGTACATAAGATTCCAATTGGATTTCTACTGCTTGGTTCTAATACGGCCAATAACATTAGAATTATACAAGAATTCAATAAGTTTGTGCAAATGCATGAACAGAAGCATATCAAGCTTATCAACTTGAACTCCAAAAATTGTGCAAACATAAAATCTACGTTGAGAGAGGTGGTAAAGCAGGTATTGAGTAAAAAGAGTGAGGAGAATGAAGAAAATGATAGCAGTGATTCTTCAGAAGATGAAGAAAGTGAAGACGAAGATATGGACTATGATGGAAGAATAAATTACGACTTCGATATTGTTGAAGATTGGTGCTTAAAGCAATTTGGCAGAGAGAAAGGGAACTTAAAAAACACCAGTTCACGCCTTATAATCATATTACAGGATACAGATTCAATAAGTACTCAAGTATTGAATCAATTGATTAAATTAATTCATTCATATTCCAACAAGTTGCCTATAAAATTAATTATGGGATTGTCGTCCTCAAATGTAACGAATTGGATAAATAATAATTTGAGTAATGAATTGAGGATATTAATCAATGGTTTCAAGTTCAATAGTATAGATACCAAGTTATTAGGGTTCAAATTAATTGACGAAGCCTTTCTAAATTATGAGAATGATGAAACTAACCCGCTAATACTTAACTATAAATTATCTTCTATAATCTTCAATAGATTCAAGAACTCGAATAACTCAATTGATAATTTAATATCCCAATTTAAGTTGTCATATATGATTTATTTTTATCAGCTGCCATTGTCGGTGTTAATAGACGAAGATTTCAAACCTAATTCTAGATACATTGAAGCATTACGAAAATTACCTTCTTTCAAGAAGCACATGGAGAAATTAGTATTTAAATATAACGAACAGAAAAAATTATTAGAACGGCAAAAGGAATTTGAAGATTTCAATCTTGATATAAAAAAGAGAATTGATCCTGAGGAAGCTGAAACATTGAAAACTGAAATAACGAAGTTGCTAAAATCAAATGACACGGTAAGAGATTTATTTGATGATACTCGAGCTTTTTTCAAAAGGTATAGGTTAAGTGTACTTAACTTAATGAATATAATTTTTAAAATACAAGAATACAATGAAAAACCAAACAAAGAGAAGTTCGAAATTTATAAGTTGATCATAAATAACCAGGTAAAATCGTCGGTTTTCTTGAAGGAACTTTTGGTTTCATTGAAAAAGAACCTGTCAGACTTTATTAGGTTTGCTAAGTCGGATGTATTGACGGAGGAAGTAAACGGAGTCAAAGACACGCAATTGATCAACTTACGAAAGAGTTTAAAAGAGAATACTTCCACTGATACTGTGCTTAGCTGCATATCAAAATATATTCAAAGCGAAGAGATTATCTATAAGCTTGATGATAATTTATTTAATGAGATTTTTTCACTTGATGGTGGAAGCTTTGTTAATTTAGGCTTCAATTTCGAAGAAAATTACGAAAACTTGATGATAAATCTTATAAGACCAAAATTGAGATCTATTCTTGAATTGGGCTTGAATGATTCCAATTCATATTTGCAGAATGAACTAATTTCTGAGGCTGACACTAACGGTTCTAAAGTACCAGCTATGATTTGCCAACTATTTAAAGTCTATAAGGACGCACCCGTATCCATAAATATTTATGACTTCTATTGTGCATTTAAGCAATCTTTACCCAGGGAATTGATAATATCTGAATTAATAAAAAATAACAAGGGGGATGAATATAAATCCATTATAGAAGAATGCCAACTGGAAAATGAATTAATATGGGACAAGATTATATATGCGTGGTTCTTGCAATCATGTTTTGAATTAATCAATCTTGGTTTGCTAAAGGAAAAGGCAAAGAATGATTACTTAGAAAAATCAATATGGATCAATTTATAAAGTTATTTAGTTATTCGTCTTTTTCTTTTCCTGAAAACTTCTTCGCTGAATCAAGATACGAATTAATTTTTTCACTAGCTTTGTCGTAGTATTCCCCATTCTTCATGTGCTTATGGGCTGAAATTGATGTAATTATTAGTATAGTCAAAAATACGGATAATATAATTAAATTCATATACCTTTGGTTTCTGAACAATCTATTGGAAATTTGCGTGGAATTGGCTATGGGACTCATGCTTATTGATAATATTAGATAAAGGAAAAATAACTATTTCCTTGTGAATAGATATTATGTATTGCAGAATTCACTAACGGATAGTTCGCTTGAATAAGGAGTTGTGTGAAAACCAGACATTTCTAAAATTTGCATCTACAAGCATTACAATATATTCAATACAATATTGAATCAAATTTATACACAAGCTATATATAAGAGCTATATCACAAAACAATCTATCTATATTTAGTATTCATACTATATGCAATGCAATTTATTAACCAAGTATGGTCATCTATGATAAAAATTCATTATCAATCCATACATCACCTAATCGTTCGAATTTTTCAATTTCACTGTTGGTGAAATGAATAAGGATCCCATCTTGAACATTATATTTCTTCTTCTCTCTATCATATAATCCACCGATTTTCGAATATCCACACCAAGTGTACCCGGCACAGTAGTCTCTCATGTTTGTCCAGGATCTGCTTGGTTCTTCTTCTAAGTTATCTGCCTCTATGATATCATGAGGTGGAATAACAGCGTCTCTAATCACCAATCTATTCTTAAAGAAAGACTCGAATTCGGTAATAGTCTTTAAATGGGTGTATCTCTTTCCTGCTTCAAACTCCCTTTGGAAATCAACCTTATCATTTTGTCCACAATGCTGGAACCCGGAATTAAACCAAAGCAAACTGTGACTATTTTCATCATTTATATGAGCAGGGTGATTTGAACAAATTTCGCGTGCATCATATTTCGATGGCAGTCTTTCAATATCAGGAGTCACATATCCAATAGCTGCCAGGAAGTGGTCATTGAAAGAATAGTTTTCATTACCTGAGACCACAAACGCTAACCAAAACAATTCTTTATCCCCATAAACTCTAGCTTGCACTGGTAAGTGAAAGATCAATTGAGACATAATCAAAGCTTGACTGAAATGTCTTTGACGATTAATGACTACTAGACCACTTTCCATATAATGATTCAAACCTTGGAAAAATTTTCTATCTAAGGTGTATCCAGTTGTCTGAGGAATGTTGAAAAATAACGAATCCATTAACGATGGCATCATCTTTTTGAAAAACATCAAATCACTTTTTGGTCTATATTCGACGGCAAGTCTATCTTTATAGAACATAGTTCCAGTTTTCTGGTATTTACGTAAACCAAAGAAAAATTCAGGTTTCTCCAAGACCACAGTGTCAGCATCCATCAAGATCATTTCTTCAAACGAGTTGAAAAGGGTTGCCAATATCTTATTTCCAAAATTTCCAAATTTATCAATGTATTTGGGTTTCACTGCACTAGACACATCAATAAATGAAATATCCTGAGGTGGTAGAACATTATCATTTGACTTAAATTCACGTCTCGATACTTCGATCAACTTGCTTATTGAGCTCTCAGATAAATCCTTGTAGTAGATCACTTCTATTGGTAATGTGTTTTCCAACGCCCTCAACAACTTGATAAGTCTTATGGTTAAATCCAAATGACCATCGGATATTGTTAAGACAATCCCACGTCCCTTTAGATTATTTTTGAAGTTGGACAAAAAGCATGGTCTGGTAAACCGGTCCATCATTTTGTTTTGTTTCTTAGGAAACCGAGATGCTGATCCATCCCATTTCATATAAGCAGGCATTTCAAAGCTGAGCCATGGGTATAATCTTTCCTCTAACTGACGACATGTATATCGCAACAGATCGGAAATACCAAAGCTTATCAGACTCTTACTAGACATGAGTTTTCTTTGTTCTTTTATGAATCTTTCATCCTCAGGACTATCGAGATAACATTTGTTGTAGATCTTCAAATGCGTAAAGTAGTCATGCAACGTCTGCTCTTCACGCCGAATCACTTTCCATGCGTCTGACAGATCTTCAGTTTTGTAATCGTCCCTATTAAACCCAAAATGCAGATGTGGCCCTATAAAATTGGAATCATTCTTCATGAGGGTATTCATATACAAATTACATCTTTGTTTGAACGAATGGTCGTTCAATGTTTCCCCTAAACCCTCTTTTTCTATGATTGTGTCATATACAGACGAGTGAAGCTTAATGTTCTTCAATTCCTGATGTCTACCAACTTTATCATATAGTGACTTTACTATATCGCTGTCTTCGATGTTAATTTCAATCTTTTTGTTTATATGGTAGAATATCCAAAAACATAGTATCCAGCCGAGTGCAATCGTCCTTATGACAGTTTTTTTACTGATTGATTTAAGTGCCATAGTCGTCCACTTCTAAACTAACAAAATCAATCACTTTTTATTTTTGTCCACGTTTACCATATAATGACTACCAAACCCTGAGATCTCCGTAATACATAAATAAATAAACCAAAACAAATAATCAAATTCTACTTCCTCCTACTCTTTTTGACATATTTTGAAATTCTTTATGATGCGAACCACGTTTCTTATTATACTGCATATTCTATGGTCCGATACGATGGGCATAATTGCTTTCCAAGCCTCATGATGTTAATGCTCAAGTAACAACAAGCTACGGAAGGACTGCGGTTACCAACTCTTATTGTTTGTTTCGACTCTAATACCATATCCTATTCATACATGTATGTATATATGTCTTGTGAGCAAAATATACATAAAGCTCATTCCTAACTCGAACCTGCGCCTCAGATTTAGCGAGTCAAGCGATGGCGCACAGAGTAATTAAAGACCCACACATCAAGCTAATACACCCTTACACCAGATATAGATTGCATACGGGCATTACCGCGATGGCAATAAGCTTCTCGCAAACCCAATTACGACTCAATATCCGTACTGTGAATCTGACGTTTTGGACGAAATATTAATTTTCAAAAGTTTTTCTCAAATCTACAATAGCTAGGACCCTAGAATAATTCTGAACAATGTTTGTTAGACACATACATTGGATTTCTTCATTGTCGAATTACCTCCTACTTAAACCAGAAAATGGGAGACACAAGACCCATACATCAGATGTATGGATGTAGATCTCGCTCGCATTCCCCATATTTCGAGTGCCCTGTTATTATGGAACATCTCATTGGCCACTGGCCCTTTATCAGGATGACATCCATATAATTTTATGCTCCCCATTTTTATAGTATTCCGCCACACGATATAATATTTCTCTGCATACGTCTACCTGAAGTCCATCGCATAAACCACATGCCCACCAAAGAGCGCTGAATTGATAAATGGCTCATAAGATCATACACCAGACAGTCCTTTTAGCGGGTATCTTTGTTAAGCACACTTATCACTAGTATATCTAGTCTTCAGCGTGGACCCACAGTTGCTTATCGTTATCACTAAATAAGTATATTATGTAAGCAGCTTTGAAGGAAGTTTTGATAGCTGCTGGTATCGCTATCGCTACACTTTCGCGGCGATCTCGTAGCCACAGAAGAATAATTTGCACCATAGTCATTCCTAGCAATCGTTGTCCGCTCCTTTATGGGGCTATTTCGCACAGCACCTGCAACATTCGACCTCCTCTTCGTCCCCTTCCAATTACTAGGAGAAACAACCTTAGGCAGGCCTGTGTACGAATTTCTGTTTCAGAAGAAATATAATCACGTGATGTTCGATATCAGGAGGCATACGGCACCAACTATCTAACCCCGTTCGTATCGATCATCCATATCTGTAGATAGCGATAAAACAGACCATACTACACCATTGCATGAGTGTAGATCGTATGGTATCTTTGGGACGCCTGTTCCTTCATTGGACATAATCTCGGGTATTCGCTTCAGTCATTATAGCGTATAGCCATATCAATAATTTCGCAACTGTAGTTCCGCCAATATCCACCATTACCGGATTTCCATGTCTACAAGTCTACAAGTATACAAGCATACAAGTCTACTATTACAACCTCTATGCGTTTCGTTAGAAAATGCTCGATATTATACAGACATACATCAACATGTGAATATAGAATCTCAGGCAACGCAACGATTCGACAAAGATCACTGTCTAATTGTGGTAAACCTGTAGATACTACAATGACACAATAGCCCAAACGAAAATCTACGGCATTTTTTGTCGGCCATTTAGTTGAATGCAGATATACGCTTTTATCTATTGTTCACAGTAGTCACCGAAAGTGATTAGCGGGGTCGTGTATATTGGGTGAATAATATCAATGGAAATTTTGCAATTGATAAGAGCTTAATACTAAATGCAACCAACTTGGCAAATACCGGGAACATATAAGTATGAGACAATATCCGGAAATAATCGAACAAAGAAAACCAGATTCATTCAAAAAGCTTTTGATTGGTGTATAACAGGTTCATACTATCACACGATGCCTGAAAAAGAACTCAATTATATAAGGTCTGCGGACGCTGCAACATCTACCGAGAAAGACGGTGGTGTGTTTGTCGATGCTTTTGAAGCCAGTGACAACAAGGCCCCTATGGGCAAATTTGAGAAGTTTCGTGACTCTTTTAGGAGGTTCGACGATACTGAATTGGGTCTCGATCCTAATTTGTCTGAAATTGAAAGAGCTGCTATTATTACTGCTAACTCTCCATTATCAAGATCTTTGAAGAACAGACACTTGCAAATGATCGCCATTGGCGGGTCCATTGGTACGGGTCTTTTTGTGGGTTCTGGTACGACTTTGAGAACTGGGGGTCCAGCAGGGATTTTGATTGCTTATATTATTATCGGGGTTATGATTTACTGTACTGTCCAATCTTTGGGTGAATTAGCTGTGACATTCCCAGTTTCTGGTGCTTTCGTTACTTATAATACTCGTTTTATTTGTCCTTCTTGGGGTTTTGCCATGGCTTGGAATTATGCCTTGCAATGGTTGGTCGTGCTTCCGTTAGAATTGGTGGCTGCATCTATTACTATAGGGTATTGGGATCTGAAAACCAGTCCGGCGGCGTTTGTGGCTATTTTCTATGTTTTGATTGTTAGTATTAATTTCTTCGGTGTCAAAGGTTATGGTGAAGCAGAATTTGTTTTCTCCATTATTAAAGTTACCGCAGTTCTTGGCTTTATTATATTAGGTATAATCATCACTGCAGGTGGTGTCGGACCTCAAGGTTATCTTGGTGGTAAATACTGGCAACATCCTGGTGCCTTTGCTAATGGATTCAAGGGTGTTTGTTCTGTTTTTGTCACTGCTGCTTTTGCTTTTGCTGGTACTGAATTAGTTGGGTTAGCTTCCGCTGAATCTGCCAACCCAAGGAAAACCTTACCAAAAGCCACCAAGCAAGTTTTCTGGAGAATTGTTTTATTCTACGTGATTTCTTTAACCTTAATTGGTTTATTAGTTCCGTATAATACTGATGAATTACTTTCTACATCATCTGTTGATGCAGCAGCATCTCCTTTCGTTATTGCCATCAGAAATGCTGAAATTAAGGGATTACCATCAGTTATGAATGTTGTCATCATGATTGCTGTTTTATCTGTCGGAAACTCCTCTGTTTTCGCTTCTTCAAGAACATTGGCTGCATTAGCAGCCGCAAAACAAGCACCAAAGATTTTCGGTTATATTGATAAGAAGGGTCGTCCATTAGTCGGTATTATTGTTCAATGTACCTTTGGATTACTTTGTTTCCTCTGTGCATCTGATAAGGAAAACGAAATTTTCGGTTGGATGATGGCATTATCCGGTCTTTCTTCTATTTTCACCTGGGGTTCGATTAACTTCTGTCATATTAGATTCAGAAGGGCATTGCAAGTGCAAGGAAGAGACACTTCTGAGATTGCATTCACCTCTCAAGTCGGACTTGTTGGTTCATACATCGGTGTGATTTTAAATATCTTGGTCTTAATTGCCCAATTCTGGATCGCATTATTCCCATTGGGTGGCTCGCCAGATGCATCCGCATTCTTCGAAAGTTATCTTGGTTTCCCAGTTGTTTTAGTTTTCTATATTGGTCACAAACTCTATAGAAGAAACTGGAGACTTTACATCAGGGCTAAGGATATTGATATCGATACCGGTAGAAGAGACTTAGATTTGGATTTATTGAAGCAAGAACTTGCAGAAGAAAGGGCATTTATTGCTGCAAAACCTTTTTACTTTAGGGCTTGGAATTTCTGGTGTTAGTCACTCATAAATGATAGTATCATGGAACTATGTTCTAAAATTTCAATTCATCTTTAGCGTACTGTTTAATCTTCATACTCTTTATTGCAAAACACGTGACATAGTTGCAAATTATATACTAAATACATAAAGATCAATACATGTCTATATTATTAAACTGGTACTCTAATAGACTTCAACAGTTTTGAGGTGTTAGAAATGGCGAGTAGTATGTGAAGTATCTGTAGGAAAAGAAATACCAACAATTTAATTAGCAGTACAAACATCAGATTTACTAGAAAGGACAATAGGTGGGTTGTATAATACGCTTTTCAATACCACCAGCGACCTCATTAATACTAATAATAGTTGTACTAGATGACATAGTATCATCAATCTACAAGAATTCACAATCACTTTATTGTAGAAATTAGATACCGTCTTCTTGTAACATTAAGGCTCAATATCAAAGGCTCAATATGAAAGGCACAATATTATAAATTTTCACCTAATATTAATATATCTAATATTTACTGTATAATTGATAGTATATACTTCAGAAGAATTATTTTTGGTAATCTTCAGGGTAAAAGATTAATCTTTCGACCCCCTTTTCGGTTAAAATGACCATTCTAATGACACCACCAGAAGAACCATCCCATTTAATGGCCTCAGACAAAGCAGTTTTGATGAATTGAACGCAATCATCCTTTTCCATCTCTGGCTTGTAGTTTTCATTACACCAACCGTAAATGAAGGTGGATCCGGATCCCGCAATCGCATAATCTTGCTGATGTATAGAACCACCAATTGGAATCAGGTACACTGTCCCTTTGTTTTGTTTATCATACCCAGCACAGATAATACCGGCTGTCAAATTATCCTTGTTGTTGTAACATAATTCTTGAAATACGTTCGCTGCTATCTTAGTGGTAGGCTTTTCGTTGTTTGGTAATTGTGATGCGTAAACCTGTAAATGATACTTCACAATGTCTGCCACAGCTTGTGTATCTGCTGCTGATCCAGACCGGCAACAATATATAGTATCGTGAATTTGCGTCAACTTATCTGTAACTCTGTTGGCGATATATGATCCAGTTGTTGTTCTAGAATCTGCTCCTAATATAACCCCATCCTTAAATGTAACGGCCATAATTGATGTACCTAAATTGACTTCTCCTTTCTTCAAATGATTAATATCAACTGAAATACCGTTCATTTTGTATGATTATCTTATAATTGACTATATAATGACTCTTCTAATGTTGGTATATAAAAATTGCCACTTCCATTTTTGAATGAGATCGAATGCGGTGGCTTTGTGTCACTTTTCATTTATAGTAGTTAAGAATACCAGTCTAAGATCAGACCAAATCATATAAAACGCTAGAGAATGAAGGGATTATTGGGGGTATTATTCCTATGTATAAGCGTGGTATCGTTATTTATTGATAAACATGCATTAATGGATAAATTAACTGTACAAGAAATCAATTTTTTATACCGTGATCCATTAATTACCCATAAAATACATATTGAAGTGACCAAACTCGTGAAGAAAAAGAATAAAGATGTAAAGCCTGTTGTTCTAGGGGAGATACATGCTGGTCTTTTTGGATACACAGTACCGTTTACTGTAAATAATTTTATTCACTTGGCAAATCAAACGTATGGGTACGGATATGATAACAAAACGTTATTCCACCGAGTAATCAAGGATTTTATGGTTCAAACAGGCGATTATCAGTTTGGGGAAGGATATGGAGGACATTCTATTTACAATCATGAGGGGAAGTTTAGGGACGAAAATTTTAAGATTAAGCATGATAAGTTAGGTCGGATGTCCATGGCTAATGGGGGACCCAATACCAACGGAGGCCAATTTTTCATTACGACGGCTGAGAAATGTTCGTGGTTAGATGGGAAACATGTTGTTTTTGGCCAAATTATTAATGGATACGACACGTTGGACCTCTTAAATAGTGCTAGAACAAACAAGAATGATAGACCTAGAGAAGAACTCGTAATGTCTAAAATTACCATAGAGACGTTAGACGAAAATTATCTTGGAGATATTGATTTGTCCAAAGTAAATAATATCGGGTACGATGAAGTAGTTCAAGAATCATCCATTGGCTACACGTTTATATCATTGTTTATGCTTTGTTTGGCACTTGGAATGCTTTACAGAAGATGGTATTACAAGAGACAAGCTTTTTCTGATGTAAAAGATTCTGATTTCTACTAGCATCCATGTCCTCATGAAATAAAACATTATACACACATATATATATATATATATACATATTTACGCATTCATATTTTATTTTAAAGCCATCATTTAACCAACGCTATTTAGTAATAACGTTAATAAGCTCAATTTCATTGTATACGAGACATCTTTGTTCATTTATCAACATACTACTTGATAGTTCGTCTATCAAGGCTGCGAAATTGGTAAATTCATCGATATGAAGCCTAGTTTACTTCCTGCTTCAATTAAAAAAATCCAACTATTTAATGAAATACTTGTAAATACGACTAAATATATCTCTGAAATTGTTGTCTTTCTCTTTATTAGCTTCCTAGTGGTAACTACCATATACAATAAGTGTATGAATTATGTCTCAAATTGGGCCGGAAATCTCGAATACAAAATCATCGCAAAGATAAAAATAGTAGGAAAGATACAAACAGATTAATCTATATTAACTATGTCTACGACAAATGATTTTCCCATAGTATTGGTCAAGAATCTTCCATATGATGTATCAACAAAATCCTTGTATGAATTAGCAGGGAAGTTTGGAAATATCCATCAATTAAGAATACCGGTTGATGAGCAAAATAAGGGCACTTGCTTTATAGTGTATAATAACTTATCTAACGCAATCAAGGCATCCAAGAGTCTAAATGGTATAAATTTTCAGGGAAGATACCTTGTAAGTATGCATTATTCGGTTGATAAATCGAAACTTTCGGAAGAGGACTTTAAATACCGTAAGGAACAATTAGAAAAGTTAAAACTTGAGCATTCTATATAGTAATAATTTTTCCTTATATCGCTGTATATATATTATTTATTTATTTATCTTTCTTGTCAATTGAAACATCAATTAAACTTAAAAGATAATAACTGGTTAATCCAATAAAGATAAATCCAGATATTTTCATAACCTTCCACCAGTAGTTAACTTGGGTGTATTTAAACATTAATAAGACATCAATTTTACTCAAATCATCAAAAAGGTCATGGTATTTCAAAGTGACTTTGACATGGCCCTTTGATACATCAAGGTAAGACAATTCATTGTCCACTTCGATTGATGAAAATTCTATTGGAGAAGAAACATTTACAAACTCTGCACTTTCTGGTAAGTAAAAATTCAATGAGACGTTCTCGTATGTGATATCTTTAATCGAGTTCAATAATGGGAATTTTACCATGTAGGTGTCTGGTTCCTCATTTACCTTGTGGATATAATTCTTAATTTGATTGTTCCAACCGAGGGTGAAATTATAGTTCCATCCTCCGAAAAGAGGGAATCTTGGTCTCAAGAACAAGTTGTTTAAGTTAACTGAATGGGTGGAAACCATACCAACTAAATCAGTAAAGTAGTAATCCTCGAATTGGTTCACATCCGTGTATGGGAATTGCAAATGGGAAAGAGCCCAGTGGTTTCTGTTGGACTCATACTTACCTTGCATCCAGTCTACTCTCAGGAAACCTGTTGATAACTCGGCAGCATTATTGGTCAATTCATAGTACTCTTCGATGGCTAAATTGTTGGTACTGGACGCAGGAACCCACACAGATCTTTCCAAATTGTTGACCTTAGCTAATGGTCTATTGTGTTCGTATAATAATCCCATTGGTTTGACGGTATATGGCTGGAGGTCCGTCAATAATGGCCCGTACACTAACGACTTGTTTTCCACCCTTGGTTTCAAATCGGGTGCGTTTTCAGTGAATTGTTGTTCCTGATTGCCCGCTAAGTGTAATTCCATCTCTTGGCCCTTCAGGATTCCCGTGAACGTCATGGTGTATGTCTTCGTCACGTATGGCGAGTACGCAAATTTGTTCATCTTCACCAACAAATGCTGAGTGCCGTCCATGGTCATTTTATTTGGCAATGGGCTCAATGAATCGATGTAAACATAACGAATCTTGAAATCAACCTTCGAATTGGGTGCTACCGGTGCTGGAAGCTTCAACTTGTACACCCCATGCTCGACCTTTATCGCGTCAATCGCAACCGGCTGGTCTACCATCGACACGGAAATCACTGACACATTAGGCACAATGTCAAACCCATCATTGATGGTGAAATAGTATTCGTCCTGTGGCTTATCACCCGTATTTTTGGCCTCAATTAAGCAGCTTTCCTTGACATAAGATCTTGAAAGATCTACCGACCTGATGTAGTTAACATTTTCCCATGTCGTTTTAATGTCAATACATTGGCATACACCGACTAAAAAGAAAGCCGTAAATATACTTATCAATGAATTCACCTTCATATTACTATCAATTCGATTGAATGAGTATAATATGTCCTTATATTCTGTATTTATGTCCGTATACTTAATTGAACACCTAATTCACTTTTTTCAATAGTAGGTAAATCCACGAATTATGTAATCGCAACCGTGAAATTTTTAAAATCAATAAACTTCGACCTATAACAGACGCCATCATATAGGTAGTTATATACAAGCTTGTATAAGATAGAAGCGATGTCATTACAAGATCTTATTCCAGTTGTCAATAAGTTGCAAGATATTGTAACTACCACACAATTAGCAGACCTAGATTTGCCAATATTGGCAGTTGTTGGATCGCAATCATGTGGAAAGTCTTCGGTATTAGAGAACATTGTGGGTAAAGATTTTTTGCCTAGGGGAACTGGTATTGTCACCAGAAGGCCGTTAGTGTTGCAGTTGATCAATATTAAGCCAGATGATCCACTCATTTATGAAAAAGGGAGGACGAATGGTAGTGGCGGGCGTAGCTCAGGTGCAGAAGACGGAGATATGAACTTGGAAGACCATTTGAAAAAGCATTCAAACGGGGGCAAGGAGCCGGCTTCAGAATGGGGAGAGTTTTTGCATCTCCCTAAAAAGAGATTCTACAACTTCCATGACATTAGAGACGAAATAGCAAACGAGACCAGCAGGATTGCGGGAGAGAACAAAGGCATAAGTAGGTTGCCTATCAACTTGAAAATCTATTCGACCAAGGTTTTGAATTTGACGTTGGTAGATTTGCCTGGCTTGACCAAGATTCCTATTGGTGACCAACCCACCGATATTGAGAGGCAAACGAGAAATTTGATCTTAGAGTACATCTCCAAGCCAAATAGTATCATTTTAGCGGTTTCTCCGGCCAATGTGGATTTAGTTAATTCTGAATCGTTGAAGTTAGCCAGACAAGTCGATCCAAAGGGTAAAAGAACTGTGGGGATTTTGTCAAAGTTAGATTTGATGGACCACGGCACTAATGCATTAGATATTTTGAAAGGTAACGTATATCCTTTGAAATTAGGATTTGTTGGTATTGTCAATAGATCTCAACAAGATATTTCTGAGAACAAACATTTGGATGATTCGTTATATGCTGAGCAACAATTTTTCCAAAATCACCCGGCTTATAAACTGATTTCGAATAAGTGTGGTACGCGTTACTTGACCCAAACTTTAAACAAGATTTTGATGAATCATATTAGAGATAGATTGCCAGATATTAAGGCTAAATTAAACACTTTGATGGGGCAAACTGAACAAGAATTACTGAACTACGGTGACTTACCATCCAACTTGAATGATTCTAAAGAAGTTAGAGGTGCTTTTGTGTTGAATTTAATGACCAAATTTGCTAACAGTTTTGTTAATTCGATTGAAGGTACTTCTATGAATGATATTGCTACAAAAGAATTATGTGGTGGTGCTAGAATTTATTACATTTACAATGAAGTATTTGGAGCGCAATTGGCTTCGATTAACCCTACCCAGAACTTGTCTATCCATGACATTAGAACTGCTATTAGAAACTCTACTGGTCCTAGACCATCATTATTTGTTCCGGAATTGGCATTCGACTTGTTAGTAAAGCCACAAATTAGATTATTAGAAGCTCCAGCGCATAGATGTGTTGAATTGGTTTATGAAGAGTTGATGAAAATTGTCCATAGTGTCTGTTCTTCTGGATTTGGTGTTGAATTAAACAGATATCCAAAGTTACAAAGTAAATTAATTGAAGTAGTATCCGATTTATTGAGAGAAAGATTAGGACCAACGATAAAGTACGTTGAATCCTTAATTGAAATCCATACTGCTTATATTAATACCAATCATCCAAACTTTGTTGGTGCTGCGAAGGCTATGAGTATGGTTGCTGAAGAACGCCAAAAACAAAAGGAATTAGAGCTGAACTCAAAGTTAAGATTAGCAAGTGAAAGAATCTTAAGCGGTAAGAGCTATGAGAGCATTGAAGAATTAGAAGAAAGTACCGACGGTTCTAATGAAGAAAGAGAAGAAATCGATATTAATCAGGTGGATGACGATATCAAACCTGCCAAGCACAAGAGAGTTGAATCAAATAAGACTAATATCTCATATAAATCTGAATCTGCACCAAATTTATCAAGTTCGTCGTCACAACCACTTCAAGATTCTTACTTGAACTACTTCTTTGGTAAGGATCCAATCACTCAGCAACAGCATTTGCAAACACAAGCGCAATTGCATCCTACACCATTTAAATTTCCTCAACATCAAGATAGCACATTACAATTTAACAACAACTTTCTTCAAAATGGCCACATGAATGGCATTCACCAAAATGGTTTCAGTACAAATTCAAATACCAGTTCCACTCCTAAGTCGGAACCAGTATTACAGGATTCCCAATCTACAATTGATTTGAACACATTGAATTTAAACGAGAAGCAATTTGAAAGTGAAGATTCACTCAGCGAGTTAAACGAAAGAGAGCAATTAGAATGTGAATTAATTAGAAGATTGATCATCTCCTACTTTAGTATTATAAGGGAAATGATTCAAGATCAAGTTCCGAAGCTGATTATGTGCTTGTTAGTTAACTACATCAAGCAGAATATCCAAAACAGATTGGTTATCAAGTTGTACAACGAAAACTTGTTCGACGAATTACTCCAAGAAGATGAAACCATTCAATCGGAAAGAGAAAAGTGTATTGATCTTTTGAAAACCTACCGTGAAGCCTCTAAAATCATTAGCGATGTTGTTTAGGGGAGCTCCCGTTCGGTAGGTTTGTATGCCGTATGTTTTATCTTGCAAATATTGTAAATACCTTGGAAATAGTAAATTTTGATAATTTATAGTTATTTATTTAATATGATTATGTTTGGTCTTCCATATATACCACTTAAAGTATCCCTATTTCGCTCCTATTTCTATTTCTTTATTTAAAATCCAATCATCTATTTTTTGGGCCTATCGTACACATACAAGTCTAGCCCGTCATGAAATCCACTCACCAAGCTGCTCTTCCGTATCTTATACTTAGTCAATTTCTTCTCATCTTCAAAACTGAAGCTGCTAGTTTTCACTAGTAAACTCACACTGAAGTTACTCCCTTTTCTCTTGCTAATATGCTCGATATCATCTCTCGTCAATCTACCTATATTGATCCTCAAATTGACCAAAAAGTCCACAGAAACGTTCATGTAGCATTTCCATTCGTGCTCATTTATGTCGATAACGATGCGATTGTTTCGCAAAATATTTTCCTCTATCAATTTACCTATAGGTTTACTCGTTAACACGTTCACCAATTCGTGTCGTATTGACCCTATCAACGAATTTATATCTCCATTCGATAGTTTCAATATATTGATCTTCTGTAATTTGACTATGGATTTTTCGTTCACTGATATAACAGACGCATTTTCAATGAGTTTTGATCGATTCACAAATATCCTTACCGGAATACTCTTATCTGACGTTACTCTAATGAAGCTAGTTGTGGCTGGCATATCTCTGAGACCGCCTATCTCTATAGTCTAAAATGGACATATTGTGACACATTTGTGAACTCGCCTACATCACCAGTCACGTGACTTATGTCCCATCGGCCCACGTTGACTTTCTATCTATTTTGATCCTGGCTTGGGACATATACATATATATCCGTTGTATAAGAACAATTAGGTATTAAGCCGTTGTGATAAAGAGGAACATCCTTTTTTGTTGTTGGTTATAGGAAAAAAATAAATCTAGGAATTACAAGAAAGATAATTTTCTATTTGATACCATTTTGCAGTTAAATAACGATGCTAGTTAATAAAAGACAAACACCATGTATACTTGTGTCCTTCTTCATTGGGCTCGTTTTTTTCACTATTTTGAATATCTCTAAAGAGCACATTAATCTGGACTCTATAAGCAAGCATTTTTCTTCGGTAACTCTGGCCAAGACTGAACCTAAAGGGTCTATGGCTTCCAAGGCTAGGAAGGCATTTAAAAAGAAGGTCTACATTGACGATGAATTCGAGTATTCCAAGATTACATACGCCAATACCAAGCTAGTGAATTCGGAGACTGATAAGAGCATGTTGATAGTGTCGAGCATTGGAAGTAAAGATAGTTACGGTAAGGACAAGGCATTTGAGGATTTGATGAACACGATTGGGCTGATCGACTACGAAGCGAATTCGATTTCTTTGGGGTTCTTGGTGGGCGAAAAAGAAGAGTTTGGTAAAGTGGAAACGTTTTTGGACAACTACTTCAACAATTTAGCCAAGACTGATGCAAACAACAAAAAATCATTGGCTCAATATGTTAACAAGGTGACATTACTCACGGCACCATTTATAGATAAGGCGTTCCAAAGTATTGACAGAAACGACAGACATAATGATAATTTACAAAGGTTGAGAAGAAGGTCTATTGCGAGATCCAGAAACTTTTTGTTGCTCCACTCTTTGCAGAACGAGAAGTATACGCTATTCATTGACTCAGATATCGTAAAGATCCACCATCCACATATGATCAAGACATTCATTGCCTCTGGCAAAGATATCATAGTTCCTAGAATTATCCGTGGAGATCTTCAGGATTACGATAAAAACTCGTGGGTCGGCGAAAGAACAGTTCCATCCCCTGAACAATATAAAAAGTTGGATCTGAACGATTGGGATAATTGGGACTATGTTCCAAGAGATGTGGATGACAAAATGATGCACTTCGATAAATTCATAGAGAAGCATAAGGACGACCCAATGACCCATCCAGCTAATAGGCCAGATTACTTGATGAAATTGGACTCGGTCGGGGGTGCCATTCTTTTCCTGAAATCGGTAATCTACAAACAAGGTGTTGTCTTTCCACCAAACTATATTATCGGTACTACTTGGGGTCGTTTGGAAGGTTACGACGGTATTGAAACTGAAGGGTTATGTTATATAGCAAAGTCATTAGGCTATGGATGTTTCGGTATGCCAAACATGGTTGCCGAACATTCTGCAGAATAGATTTATATATATATAGTTAACAGATAGTAGACAATGTTTGCGAGTATAAAGAAAAGCGCTATTGAAAAATTAAAATTGTAAATAAAGAACAGCATGAAGAACTTACTTAAATCATTGTCATTTAATTTACCTAAGGGTAACTATAAACTCTTTCATATTCAATCACAGCCATGTCAATGTAAACATTTGTTGATTTATCATAAAAAAAATGCTCAAAAGCCTGAATTAACTGTAAAGATCAAGCACTTCATAAGCTTAATAGATGATGATGATCTTGTTGTTATGGGTATTGAAGTTTACATATATTTGACGATATTCGATGACCATCTAAAACATAGTATATTTATTTCAAAAGCAGATACTACTGGATTGTCAATTCAGAAATATCAAATAAACAAATTGATCGATGATATCTTGCAATATTTGATCCAATATGATATAAGAAATTACTGTCATAAAATTAAATTAAAGTCAAACGAAACTGTAATTGGATCGGGAAGCAACCCAACAATTAACTCTTTGAATCGGATAATTGGCAAGTTAAGAGAAGGCACATCATACTATAAATCAATCCCTTATTATAACGAAATAGTGATTCCGTCTACAAGTACCAATTTGGAAACAATTTTACCTCCAGAACGTATTCAGACGTCTATATCGTTATTCACCAGAGCCTCCGAACAATATCTCTTCCCTAACTCGTCAAAAAATGAAAGAAAACACGTAATTGGCGGCGATGACTTATTGAAGTGGTGGATAAGGCTAATAAACCGAACGCTTTTAAGTCAAACAACAGAAGACAATTGGAATTGCAAATTGCATATCCCTGGGTCAGATAACGTTTCGATATCCAAAAACTTACCTGATCGTTCTAAAAATAATGTTGCATGGTCAATCGGTAGCATATTCGATAAAGATGCAGAGAAATTAGCAATAAATCAGATTCCTTTATTTCCTGATGACCCTAAAGGTCGTTTCTTAGAGCATTTAATAGTCGAAAATAGATATAAGGCTACCAGTTTGAAACAGTTTTGGCAAGAGTTAGGATTTAGGCAAGAATTTCGGTTAGGTAATGTTGTTGGTATTATTGGCTGTGAAAGAGAAGAATTGAGCATAAATCCAACTGAGACATATAATAGTACGTGTGTCTTGTCTTTGGGTCAATATAAAAAGATATTGAATAGCATAAAAAGTTCTGACTTTAATGATGCAGCTGATATAAAGGATTTGGTATCGGTTAAGATACCTGATTTTATGAAAGAGTTTGGTGCTACCAATTACTATATTCCACTTGAAGGCTCAAATGACGCGATTCCTAGAGTAGGAACCATGTCTACAGTTAATGATTTGAATCTAAATGTGAAGAGAAAATCAGACGCATTAAAGAAGGAAACGGTTAATGACATATCTGGCTCTGTAAAGAGATCTGTGAAGGACATATCTGGTTCTATAAAACGGAAGCCTGTAAACGACATATCTGGTTCTATAAAACGGAAGCCTGTAAACGACATATCTGCATCTGTAAAAAGAAAGTCTGTGAACACAACCTCTGTGGAGAAGTCTACCAATAATGTGTCGAACAATCAGAGGAACATTTCATCACATTGTGATTCATCCCCTCAGACACACTCTCCTAATGTCAATGTTATAAATGGCTTGATCAGAAAAAAACCAAAGAAATAACCAGATCAATGATATACTTACTGTACATAATACATGCATATTTCAAGTTCCACATATAACGCGTATGTTAACTGTAGTAAAATGTTCTCCCGCTGACAGTACTCTATTTAACTGTGACCATATAGGCTTGTTCATAATCTTCACTGCCTGGAAAGCATGTAGCAATATGCAGTGAAAACTCACTACATGATCTATAGAACGAAAGATCCAATAGCAATATGCCATTTTTTCCTACTGCGCATTCAGAATCAAACATAGCCTTGTTTCATGATTCGTTCCCCAGCACTAATTCCCCCTTAAGCTCATCGATTCATCACTTTTAGGGGTTGCATCATCGCCTGCCAACACATCTTTAACCAACAATACTCTAGGTCATGTTATTTCACTTCTCTCTGTAAAAGTTGCAAATTTTATTATGTAATTCTGATGGCGCTTTTGGTTCCAAGAACCACGCGACAATAAAAACCTCCTATTATATCCTTGTACCCTTTACTTTATTTCTTCTATCTCCACAGTTTCTATAGTACCCTAAACTCCGCACCCTAGTGGTATCTTTGCGGTTCTATCGGATAAATAAAGCCTACTGTAAGAAATTGTTTTACTGCAATCCGCAGCAACCTGGTCTGTACTTTACATGATGCAATAATCTGCTCATTGCAGTGAATAGAGGTTGTGATTATTAATAAATTGTCTTTTCAACAGACACGTTGTTATTATTTTTGCTCAAACGTAGATAGCATTAAATCGGTTGTTTTGTAATGTACTAAACCGGTACGGCCCTCATATATACGCCATTATATAGACGAAATTGTGTGACTCTGTAAGCTTAAACTCATATGCATCGTAAGTATTTGTCTTGATAGGAGTCTAGAATTATATTGAATACTTTATCAATTGTGGAGATAAGCCATATCAGTCAAGAATGAAATGTTTGTGGCCGATTTTTTTTTTGTAACAAAACTATTTTTTTGTAAGTACTATATTATATTTTATATTTTTTCCTTCTTTTCATTTTATAATTTGATATAGATATATGAACGCCTATATGAACGAAATGGTATCACCCAAATCAAATGGTGCAAGTTTGACTACGAGTAATGGAGATGGTAATATTGTAACTCCGAAAGTTGGACAAGGAAGTCCGAATATGCTTAAAGTATCGACCATAAATAACGACATTCGGATCGGAAGGTCGCCTAGTATAAAGAATAATGGATTAGCTAGTTCATTATCCAACGTTAGGAACAATAGATCGCCAAATCATAGTAGACATGGATCAATGGTAGGTGAAGATGCTGAAAAGCTCGGCCCGAACCAGACAGAAGGCTCGACTAACTTACGCAAATTGAGTAACGAGCAGATAATAGATCTTATGGAGAAAGAACAGGACGGAATCGTAGTTAAACTTATGAAGGATATAAATACACTAAAACAGGAACTTCATCAGTGGAAAACTGGTGCAATGCCGACCCAGCTCAGATCTCCGTCATTCGACCGCAGACTGTCTGTAGTGTCCAGTACGTCTTCGGTTGATTCCGTTGAACGTGAAAGAAGTCGTCGTAGATCTTCTAACGAAGCTCCACCGGCAGGATCTTTTCTCGACAATGGGCATTTGGTTAATGAAAATAATAGATTGAAGCAAGAAAACGATCTTTTGAGGCAAAAACTCAATGAGTTGAATAAGCTTAACAAGTAGTATAAATTTTCCACTTTTGGATCCGATATACAAATCGTATTCTTGGTATCTCTCTGTGTATACCACTACTTCTATTGCATTACTCGCGACTACATTTATCTTACTAGATCATTGCTACGTCGAATCATATATTTACAAACTGATAGAGATTATCTGATCCTTGATCGTGTATCTCTATAGGGAAGGAATCAATTATATAGAAGGCTTAATGATTTATGTTGGTTTGTTTTTGTATTGCACCGATACAACTACACTGATTCAGTTGCTTGGATCTCCATCCGAGAGAGCATTCTTCTTATATCAGGATTAATTTTTAATCTACAATATACGTTCTATAATAATTTACTTTCGGGTAAGATACTGTCTTATTTCGCCGTAGAATATACTTGTGTTTTTTAAGTAAGTTGTTTGTGGATGGACTGTTAATAGTAATTTATTTTTGTAATTCGCAGCCATAAATGTACAAATTCAATGAATTTCCTTTTACTCATGGACTTTTTTCTATATCATTATACAATGAAGTATTTAATATACATAGCTCTTCTCATGGGGCAAGCAATTGCCACCAGCTTCGATGATTCAGAAGAAATGGAGGTGGAAAATACGGAAGTTCAGAAGGAAGCCAATCCCATAGTCAACCGATTACCTTTTCCTAGTTGGTTGACCGATTTCACAGGTCTAACCGAATGGCCAGGAATGGACCCACCATACATTCCCTTAGATTTCATAGATATTGAATCCATTCCTGATGGAATACCTAGACATGGAAACGGCCACTGCGAGCCCGTCATTAATGACCATGAAACATGCTCATTTGATTGTTACAATTGTGTCTCTGCTGACGATGTCTACACTTGTTCAAAGCTATCCCAAACATTTGATGATGGACCCTCTTTGATGACATTGAAGCTACTCGACAACTTAAAATCAAAATCTACATTCTTTACCTTAGGTGTCAACATAGTTCTTTTTCCAGATATTTATCGTAAAACCCTGCAAATGGGACACATAATGGGCTCTCATACTTGGTCACATAAATTTTTACCAAGTCTAACAAATGAACAGATAATTGCTCAAATTGAATGGTCCATCTGGGCCATGAATGCCACCTGTGGACATTTACCAAAATGGTTTAGACCACCATACGGAGGCCTCGACAACAGAGTCAGAGCCATTGTCAGGCAGTTTGGGATGCAGAATGTGGTATGGGACTTCGACACCTTCGACTGGAAGTTGATTAGCGAAGATGATAAATCCAATCAGCACGAATTGGAAATCTACGAAGACATAGAGCGGTTCAAGAAGACGAAAGGAAGTCAGGGCCTAATATTGGAGCACGATGTATACCGCAAAACCGTCGACGTTGCAATCGAAGTTCACAAGCTCATAGGTCCTGATCAAATTACGGTACCTGAGTGCGTTGGAGGTATTGATTATATAAAAAAATTCATACATATATAATTCCTAGAATATTCAGTAGTGAGCCCCGATGCAATTTGTGCCATTATCGTAGCTCTGATCATTTCAGGATTCTCAATATACTCGAAGTTCCTTGATATTTTGCAATATACGACAATAAAGTGATAAAGTTTTCACCACTTAAACGAAATGCTGGTCCTTGGTCCTAAACGATTATTTGAAGTGTCAACCATTCAAGTACTTCCAGCGCACATCCAGCCTTCGTCCAAAAACGTCGATACAAGACCTCAAAAAAAAAAAGGTTTTACCATAAATGCGTTTTTTAGACCTCTATGCTCCATCTCTTCCGTATCTAGTATTCATAAGCTTACGAAAACATCTCGTGAGCCACTTCCTTGTATTCTCCATATTGAAGTGTTAAAGAGCCGTGTCTGCAAAACCATTTGCAATACAGGTTGCGTCTAACAGCTGCATATATCTGCTTGTGCCTATATTGTTGCACTACGATAATTTTGGAGCTGATGTTAAAAATAGGCTCAAAAGGTCTAGGTTCACGCATCATATAATACCTTGAACTATTTTTTTCGCAAGCCTAATAGAATCCATCGATAATACAATTAGCTCACTCGTATTCAAATTGCCCGTAGTCTGATATGCGTGTTGCTCGCTTTATTAGCAGGGTAATTTTTCCAGAGCAAGCTAATTTTTAAGCCATGATAAGGTACTTGCGCAATTATTTATTTTGAATTATCCAGGTCTCTTGTATTTCCTTATGATGTATATTTGCATATATTACTCGAGATGCTTCAGGCGTCTACTGTACCCTTTGTTCTTTGAAAGTAATATAAGGCATTTGAAGGAATTTTAAACCCTTAGTTAGGCATGTGAAAAGGTCTATCAAAACAAGTCGAGATGAGCTGATAAACCCGAAATTTGCATGTGATAGACACAGAAAACATTTTGCAGCTAATGGTTCTACAGTCTTGGTTTGAATAATAGTGTATATATTTAACTTCACAATAACATTCATTGATAGTTTAATAGGTATATAGGTAGTTAACCAGTATCACAATACCCAGGAGAATTGTACTAATAATTAAGCAGAAATAAATAACTGAGGTGCACCACCACAATAAATAAATATATAAATAAATAAGTAGTTACCGCAAACAGTAATTGGTTTTACCAAGGACCAAGGCATAGACTTAAGCCGAGGCACTAACAGCTGGTGCCTGATTGGAGTTCGAGGATCCGTTCAATAATTCAGAACCTTCATTGCGGATTTCATTGGCTTTGCTGTTAATAGCAGAAATGCCTTGCTTGGCATCTGAAATAAGCGAATCGGCCTTGTTTCTGGTAGTAGTAGCTACATCAGCAACGTATTCCTGGGTCTGACTGTTGACATCACTCACAAATCTGTACCCGGTATTGTAGCTAGCCACAAGTTTCTTCTTGTAGACAGAAGCTTCATCCTTCATGGTGTTTAACTCGTTGTTGTAAGTCGAAATCAAGTTGTTAGAAACATCGTTAGACTTGTTGGAAACAAATGTCTTGGCTCTGGAAACAAATTCATTGACAATTTTGAAAAATTTAGATACCTCGGATGATTCACCCAATTCCTCCAATTTGAAAACCGCCTTATTTTCTTCCACAGTTGCTGGCAAAACCTTGTCACCAGCATTGTAGATGATGTTGTTGATTGGTCTCAAGATACTGGCATTAACATAGTTGTAACCTGCTCTAGCATAAACCACTGGGTTTAACTTGTCGCTAGATGGAACCTGTTTCACGCCCCAGTCAACTTTTGACAAAACAATACCATCAACCTTTTCGTCAACAAATGTTAAGCTGTCGTATACAACGTCAACTGAAGATAACTTGGTATTAACAAAATTAATAACACTACTAACATATTGGTACAAAATGTTTACCAAGGAGAAAGATAACAAAAATCCTTCGAGCTGCTTGACCAACGAATAAGAACGAATATGGTTAATCGATTTCGATTCAAACTTCTTGTTTGGAGTGATTTTATCAATTATTTCAGACATCTTGCCACTATTTCTCTATAAATATTAAATTAATATTAATGGTCCAAAAGAATATAAAAAAGTCCCAAATATATTTTTCGGTTCCAAGGGGGCATTGTAAAGTATTTATATGCTCCCACAATGGATCTTATTATCTCGCAAAATAAATTCCAGAAACTATACAATCCCAAATGTGGTACCTGTCTTGTTCTTTCTGTTTACTATTAGTCCACATTAATGAGACACCCACTCTTAACCAAGCCTTTTCGCCCATGCCACAAACCAGTTGAGGGTTTGGGGTTTAAGCTAATAAGTGTGGATTCCCTCTTAACCGTAGCTTGCTTTGGTATGCGATAACGACACTAGGACACCGTGCACCGTGTTTAGATAGCAAAAAAGGTAAGGATGTTCTGGTGCAATACGATGGAACCTATAATTAATCACATGGAGGCGGATATCCGAAACGATTGGCATATGAAACAATAAAATAGGAACCGATTATGCTGCAATGCAGACTGTGGGCCTAATCGCACAATTATGTAGGTATATGCATCAATATATTAGTCTGAGGAAATACGGTAGGGACTGGAAGGAATAGCGAGGACGGAATAGGGTCAAAGCTTGGTAATGTAGCAGAGATAGGATTTTGAGAATTGGGCAAGAGATAGAATATGGTAGGAATTAGGACGGTAGAGAAATACAGTAGTATGGTATATATCTGCAGACGATTAGAGGAGGCGACTTGACACTTTTGAATTCGACGCAAGGTATATGTTTGGAAGGATGAAGAAATACTAGAATATAGCAATGTATAAGATAACACGAGCCCTCTCACAAGTTTATGGGGTTGGATGAATTTTGCAATAACGTATAAGCAATGTAGTAGAATCATAGAAGGCAATACGAGAAGAGGGATAGAGTTACGTAAGAAATTGTTAAATAATATTGAAAAAGCGTAGTTTGGACGTGAAGGGCAGCTGGCCTACCAAGCGGATTACCGCAATATAATCATTATAGTGTTGATTGGAAAATACGGTTGTGAACGAATTTAAAACATAAATTAAACTAGTTAACTACTTATTGTTGCTTACATTCTGGAGGATTTTCCTTTGGAGCTTCGTCGTCATCATCTTCATCGCTGTCACCTTCGCTTTCACTGTCGAATTCGTCGTCTTGATCGAAATCCTCTGGGAAGCCAAATCCAACCGCATCACCAGTAAACCAGTCGATAGCTCTTGGGATCAAACGGTCCTTTATTTCTTCACCTAATTGATAGTCCAATTCTAATCTTGCTTCCAAGTCTTCGTCTTCTTCTTGCTCTTCTTCGCTTTCGTCTTCTTCCTTATCTGGGTTTTCCGATTCGTCGACCTTTGGTGGTTTAGGTGGGTCAAAGAAGTTGAAGAAAGATTCGCTTGGAGTCAACTTTTCGATGGTTCTGGTTTGCTTGGTGGTCTTATTTCTTTGCTTTCTTCTCTCGATGTTGATGGTGACATTGTTTTCCTTGGACTTCCAGTTAATTTCGCTTCCATCGGCGTGGTCATAAACAAAATCTCCCGAGTATCCTAATTCGGCTTGGTAGTGGTAAGTCTTGGTTAAAATGTTATTAGAGAAGTATGGATTCTCCTTGAATTCGAAAATCAACTCGAAGCCAGGAGTAGACAAGTATTCCATTCTGATATCGTTTAAGTACTTCAATACTTCGCTATCTCTCTCGGTTATCGTTTCAGAAACAGTTTGTAAATTCTCCAAAGCAGTCAACCAGAAACCAGGAATACCCTTTTCACCCAGGTCTTCAACCTCTTCTACCTTTTCCTTTTCTTCATCTTCATCTTCATCTTCATCTTCATCTGCCTCTTCCAAAGCTTCTCCTTCTTCGATTTCACCTGCACTTGGTTCTTCGTCTCCATTAATAATTTGCTTTCTTCTTTCGTACAATGGTTCATACTTCTTAAAAAACTTCTTTTCTAACACTAACAACTCCTTTTGGAATTCAGCTTCCAATTTCATTTGTTGTTGTTGGATCGACTTTAACCCATACACACGATTTTTGACCGATTTTGGCAATGAATCAATATATCCACTTTGCTGTCCGACTAATGTTCCCAATTTACCTTGAATCATCGACAATAATGCTGGATTATTGGCTAATTGATTACTGATTCCATTTCCGCTTTCTTCTTCACTGATGGTCGATACAGTAGGCGGTTGTGATTTTAAGTACGAATTTGTAAGCGATGCTGGTGTGTTTTGCGGTGTTGGAGCCTTGGAGATATCTCCGTGCTTACTTCTAATAGGTTCTGACATGATTGATTAATCTAATTTATAAGTATTAAGAGCTTTCAACGGTAATTACCATCTATAAAAAATTTCAGCTCATCTATTTTACGCGTAAATTGGCCACCTAAGCTAATTAAGGAGCAAGGAACGTTTTTATATACAATACAAAATTTATAGGTGTAATCGTGAATTCATAAAATAAATAAAGAATATAGTAAGTATATAAATAGATAAGTAATAGAATAGACAATTACTTAAACGGATGGAATTTGATCCTGGGACAACTCCACTGTGGATTCTTCAATGTCGTCATACTTTCCATCTAGAAACTTTTCAATATCTTCTTTTCTCGATTCCCATTGTTCGACTTGGGACAACTTGTGCTGGATTTCATCGATTTCATGATCAAGACTCTTCAAGTTCTCCTCGGAGGTCAAGTCATGGAATTCCCAATTCACGCCACTCATGTCATTTTCGTTTTCACTAGTGGAGCTCTTAATTTCCAAAATGAAGTCGTGGTACTTCATCAATAATGGTCTGTGGCTCAAGGTAATGAAGGTGATTTTTTTCTTCTGCAATAATTCAAATAAATAGTCTTCCACGTCGGTAGAGACAGCGTTGGTTGATTCGTCCAAAATGACGAATTTTGGGTTTTTGAATAAGACCCTGGCAATACTCATTCTTTGCTTCTCACCGCCACTGAACACATCCTTCCAGTCCTTTTTGACATTGAAGTTTCCTTCTCTTGATAATAAGTACTCCAATTTGACTTCTCTTAATATGTGATACAAATGGTCGTCATTGTATCCCATTTCAAGCATGTCATCATAACTGTAAGGATAAATGATTTGGTCTCTTAAGTTTCCATTGTTGAAGTATGTTTTCTGGGGCAAGTAGAAAATATCGTCGTCTTCCGGCTTACTTAATAAACCAAAGTATAACGGCCATAATCCAGCCATAATTCTAGCAATGGATGTCTTACCGCATCCATTAGGTCCTAAGATTAATAAGTTCTTGTTTTGGGAGATCAGGAAATTCAATTTGTTGATCAACTTGTTGTTTTCCGATCCCTTAGCAGATGGGATGATCACGGGAATGTTTTCAAATCTGATACCTTCGTAGTAGTTGGACTGGATGGTACCTCTGATATCCTTAACACCTTGTTTGGATCCATAATCAAATCTAGGTGAATGGACCTCGTGTAAATTAGTCAATAAATTAAATACTCTATCGGTGTATCCGGTCAATTCAGAAATATCTTTTATGGAATACATCAATCTTGAACCTGCATCAGCCAATGACAACATCAATCTCTTGTTGATAATAAATTGTCTCATATTTTGCTTCTCATTGATTACGGCATTCTTATCCTCTTCAACTGGTCCATCATTTCTCATCTGTTGTATTGTTTTCCAAAAATCCTCAAGGAAAACCGGTAATCCTGCAAATACATAACCCCAAGCAGACCATGTATACTTTAAAATATAATCTTCTATGATTGAATATCCAAAAGTTGTATTAATTTCATCACGTAAGTGATCCGATAAGTTATGGTAAGTTTCCTTAAGCTTAGACTTCTCGATCACCGAACCTTTATAGAAAGCAATTTCTTCACTATTGGTAATCAAATTCAAATGTTGATTATAGTACTGACCTTCAAGGTGAGTACCTTTGGCAGACAATTTTCCGAAAGCTGGAGTGTTCTTCTTTAAAAACCACGCTGTCAAAAAGTAATTACTGAAAATACCAACTAATGCACCGGTTCCTAAAGTATCTCTTAAGTAAACTGCAAAGAAAATCAAGTCTATCATAGGTTTACCCATACTCGAGAATAACCCACAGATAGAATCACAGAATTGGGTGATATCATTCGTAATGTACTGATCGATATTTTGAATCCTGGATTCATTAAGTGACACCTTATAATAAGCCATCATCTTATCAAGATACATGTCATGCACATATCTAATCAAGTTGGTTCTAAAACTCAACGATAACCTGTTCGTCAAATATTTGATGGCGGCATTGGTGTAAGAGGCTGGGAACGCAATCAATAACCAGTATATCAAATCACGAGCAAATTTCTTCCCGTTACCACCAATCAAATTCTTCACGATCTGCCCGTCGAGTTTAGCCACCAACAACGACAACCATGTTCTTAAAATCAAGAAAAAGCACTGTGATAACAACAACGACGTATTTTTCGAGTAGAAGCGGGGGATTAAAATCCTCCAAATAATCAGCAACTGGTTCAAAAACTTGGAATTGAACAAGTTGTTCTGGGTCTTCAAATTCTGATCAATTATAAAGTTCTTGTACAAGTACTTGTCAGCAGCATACCGATCTTGGTTGGGTTTCGGAATAATTATCCTTGTGGTCGAATTCTTTCCCTTTGGAATAAAGATCTCTCGACTACCATTTTTCAAGATTGTCGATGATTGTCTTATCAAAAACGGACGGTTCTGCTTTCTATTCAACTGATAATCGGAATACTGGTGTAGTAAGTTCCTTAACGTAAACAAAATCCCCAATCCAGCAGTAGATATAAGCGTCCCCAAAAATAGCACCACCGGTCTCGACTTGTAGTTGATCTTGACCTTATTATCCTTGTAAGTGATCACAAACTCCTGTAAAATCAATAATAGATTCCGAATGTCATTCTTGTTATAGCCGGCAAGCGTGGATATGCTGACCATTTTGCTAATTCAAAATACAATTCAAAATGTCTAGGGTGTATCTCGCACAATCAATTTATTAACTATACTATATCCAAAGACTTATAATCAATCCCCTATAAACAATAAAGATTCATTGAAATTAATTCGACTGGCCTGTGCTAAAGGTCGATTGTGGTTCCCCACGTATGGGCCAGGCCGAGGACCATTTTATTATCCTCGCTTATGTAATCGGTGATTGATACTTACACCAGAGTTAGAATGACAACCATCAGAGGTGTCGAACCAAAGCGCCTAAGCGTCTATCGCTTAGATGTCGTTAGCGTCTTATATGATGATGGATCAGACCCTTACCACTTCTTACCACTCATTTGCTTCGTAATACACTTTTTGAATAGATTAAACTCCGTTGCACAAGAATCCTTCTCCATGGTGTTGTACGACTTTAGGATGCATTGGCCATAGTTCAGTCCTTCTTTGGCGCACTTGGCTGATTTTGCCATGAGGTTTTTAGCGGGACTTGTCTTTGTCATTTTGCAAGACGGCTATTAGATGTACTATATGTTTCGGCGGCACACCGAATAAATTCTAGCTCATCTTAATGGTAGCGGAAGACAACAGGTCGTGGATTCGGCAAATAGAAGGGAATGAATCTATTTAGAACAAAATATTGGCAAAGCTTGCCAACAATACGTTACAGTGGCCGAGTGGTTAAGGCGACGCCCTGCTATCAGCAGTTTAGGCGTTGGGTTTTACCTGCGCAGGTTCGAATCCTGTCTGTGACGCCATTCTTTTT